AAAAAGTTGTAAGAGACCTAGAGGCCGCTAGAGGGCGCAACTGCTACGGCAAATAAGAAAATGCTATTTTTACAAAATTTTGCCTAGATAAGGGCTACTATGAACAATTGCTTCATAATCTTAAGAAAATTTCGGACTTTTTTTGTCAGAACCATTTTTCCCTATCTGCTAAAATAAAATGGCGGGGGAAGGTTAGATCTGTTTTTATTTAAATGTTAATAACTCCGGAGTCTGGATGACCGGAATCTAACAAGCGAGGGCTCGTTTAAAAGAGCGTTTCGTACTCTATATAAAACCATATAAACAATAATAATATGCCTTTAACAGTAGACGCCAGAGGGCGCTGTCTTGCAATTTAACAAACAATGCGGGATTTCCCAAAAAAATAAATACAACGGTATATATAATTTCAGCTGATTGTAAAGAGGAATAAAAGTTTAAGAAGTCAGTGATAACCGCATCTTGATATCTTTTTTCAATCCGAAGATATTAGCAAAAATATAATAAATACGAAAAAATTTGCCCTTAGCTATCTTATTTTTATAACACGGTATCAGTAGCCCTCTATATTATGCCCATTTTAACAAAAAATAAGATAGAAACAGTTAGCTTATTTTAATATCAACGAAATGCCAGAATACCATAATACCAGATGTATTAATATCGAATAATTAAGATATTAATAACAGTGAACAAGAAACGATCAGTGAAGTCATGGTAGGCTTTGGAAAAAAAGTTGCTTTTGACGTAATAGTATAAACGTCAAATTGTTATTAGATCAAAATTTTGATAGTCTTAGCTTTATGATTTAATTGCTTTTTCAAAATGCCTTTATTATTTGAAGTAGTTAAAGTTTTTGGCATTTTGAAAAAGCAATCAAAAGATAAAAGACTATCAAAATGTTGATCTAATAACAATTTGACGTTTACACTATTACGTCAAAAGCAACTTTTTTCCAAAACCTACTATGACTTCACTGAATCATCAAAATAAATTACATATACTATTGTATTTATTTTTTTTGAAAAAACGCGATATGTTTGTTATTTTGTAAGAAAGAGCCCCCTAGCGTCTACGTTCAAAACCTTATTAATATTATTTTTATGGTATAATATAGAGTAAGAAACGCTCTTTTAAACGAGCCCTCGTTTGTTGGATCCTGATCATCCAGTCGAGTTATTAACATTTAAATAAAGATAGATCTAACTTTCCCCCACCACTTTATTTTAGCAGATAGGGGAAAATGGTTCTAACAAAAAAAATCCAAAATTTACTGAAGATTATAAAGCTGTTATTTATAGTACTCATTATTTAGGCAAAATTCTGTAAAAATTCTATTTTATTTTTTTCATAGCAGTTGCGCCCTCTAGCGGCCGTTTTACAAACTTGAAAATAATTTCCAGCAATTTCTCATAGCCTCTTTAGTTGTAAATATTTTTTTCCGTAGGCTCTACGGCTAATACTTTCCGAGATACAACCGAGAGCTACTCTTAGTGGGACACCCTGTACAAGATGTGTGATTGTCATGGCTGCAAAAGAACAAGATCGAGAGAAAAAAAATATTTGCACAAAGTGCATATAAATAATGTGTACTATAAATGGGAAATAAAATCGCCTATATACCGTTTATTGTAAATATTAAGGGTTTACAATGTTCTGTTATTTTTTTCCAGACAATAAACTAAAAATTTAGAGGGCGTCGTGAGAGAAATGATCAACTTTGTAAATAACAGACACTCTAAAAAACAGTAAGACGCTGGACTAACGTTTCCTGCTTGAACACCTCGACCCAAGAGGATTGCTCATCCTCATAAGATCCTCGCCTCTTCCCGCGCTTCAGCAGACAGTTGTGACGTCATTGTAGTCCTTGTCATGATAGTCTGTATTATTGGTTGCCTATGGTCACCGCATAAAAATAACAGCTGAGAAATTTTGAGTTAATTATTTTATCGATTTTAAATATGAAAATGGTATTTTTAAAGTTTTTAGAGTTATAGACTCCATAAATACGTTCATTTTGTGTTCTGGATTGTGACTGAGTGCCTACGACATTGTTTATTAATTATTTTAAAGCAAAATATGGAGGTACTCTAAAAAGAATTCCTGCAGAAGGTGATGCTGGGAACTGCTGTATACGATTTATACAGTTAATTTTCTATATTGCACACATATAAGGTGTTTAAATAATAAACAAACTAAATAATGAATGTTTTGCATACGGCAACCAATAATACACACACTATCATGACAAGGACTACAATTACGTCACAAGCGAGGAGTTTTCGCATGTAACTGGCAGATACTTTTTTATGGACACTTTCGGCTGAATGAGCAGCAGGGTTCGGAAGCAGCAGGGTTAAGACGTAATTTACCTGATTAACTACGTCTTTTCCCGTTCATTAACTACATGAAACCTACGTTCATAAACTATGTAGAAACTCTTATATAATTAATATTTTTATATATAATGCTGTTTTTCTGTTGTAATTTGTAATAACAATATGTAGTTTATCAAAGTAGTTTTCATGTAGTTAAAGACCGGGACAAGACGTAGTTTTTAAAGATAAACTACACGTAGTTAATCAGGTAAATTACGTCTCAATTAACTACTTCCGAACCCTGAACCTCACCTCAAACCTTTGACATTTGAAAGTTACATACATAGGTTACATAAACTACACCCTCTACATAAACTACATTAACTACATGTAATGTAGTTTATGTAGTTTTTAAAAGTAACATGTAGTTTTCCGAACCCTGATGAGCAGTCCTATTAGGTTAACTGTTCTTGATCTCGACCCGACGCGAACACGACGCAAACGCGACACAACCAGGGTTCAGAAGTAGTTAATTTAGATGTAATTTACCTGATTAACTACATGTAGTTTTTCTTCAAAAACTACGTCTTTTCCCGTTCATTAACTACATGAAAACTACGTTAATAAACTACGTATTGATATTATGAATAATTTTCCTTTTTATGAGGTGTCTAAATAATATGGTGTGAATATTATATTTAAAGCCATATTTCTTCTGTTTTCTTAAATACATTATCTGTGTTCTAAAGCTTCAACTTATTATAACCTCACCTCAAACCTTTGATATTTGAAAGTTACATACATAGGTTACATAAACTACATTAACTACATGTAAGTAGTGTAGTAGTTTATAAAAGTAACATGTAGTTTTCCGAACCCTGGACACGACGCTCGACGCTCTCAGCCTGAACGTAGTGTAGCTAAAAATTGTCTACCGGATGATGCTAAAATATGTGGGGGTTTCCATTTAAAAAAAAATCAAGATTCATCAATTCATTCGTCGAATCGGTCAAAATTGACGACTTACAGGTAGAAAATCGGCATCCTCGCGTAAAATTATTGCAAACTTAGTAAATTGAGTGAGTGACTTAAAACGATGTTCCTGTACTACACTTTTTAACTATAAAATTTTAGAAATGAATTCGTTTTGTTTTTCTTGCACTATTATGAAGCAGTTAGGTTATTTCCTTTAATAACAGAATCTTTATGCTCTATTTTTTCTTAAGGCCAGTATTAAACTAACAAATTTCTTTGTCAAAGATCTTGTATGTATAAAAGAGATTTTTGATGAAAAATTTTTCATTGCTAATGTACAATATTTTCAGCCATGCAGTATTACACTATCGAATTTCTTGGTCAAAGAATTTGACAGTGTAAAATGTGTGATTTTATAAAATATTGTATATTAACACTATCAAAAAATCATAATCCTTGAATTATTGTTGGTAAATTGATATATAAATAAAATCAGAAGAAACCGCTCCGATTAATTCCAGTTTTCTACCTTTTTCTTGCCTGGAAAACCAGTTACCGGTAGCGGTTAGAGAGCTAACTTTTAATCCATAAAGATATTTCGAGATTTTTTATTTTTTCCTTTGGTTATAAGTATATATATATGTATATATATGTATATAAGTATATATAATATATATAATATATATATTTCCTACCTAAAATTCTAAATTTGGAGTGTGTGACACATCTAGAAGTAGCATAGAATTTTGATGATCTGTCAGTGAGTCAATGTCGAAATGAAAGAGATTTGAGACAAGCGATAATTCATAAACTATGAGGGATAATTACTAGATATTTTGATTACCTAGCCAGCTATATATGTCTTTAAGTGTTGTGAAAATTAATATTCTTGCTTTATCCACAACGAAGTTACAGGGTGGTCAAAAGTGCCACTAATACCTTCGAGCAGGGTTGCCAGATTGGGCGACTTATCGCAAATTGGGCTACTTTAAAAATCATTTTGGGACACATTTTATCTTTCTGCGACTAGTCGCAGATTGGGCGATTTTCAAAAAATTTTTTCAGAGATTTTTTGGGCTACAAAGGAAATATACTTTAGGCTGGCTAATCTAAAATCTGCTTTGTAATTTTATTTGTTGTATTATACAGGGTGCTTCTAAATATCATGTACAAACGAAAAGGGGTGTTTTTTTGGCTAATGCTAACTTAGCTTCTTGCATCTTGTCATAATAAATAACACTTCCAAAACCAGCAAAAGGATTTGTCGAGATATTATTAGAAAAAAAAAATTTAGGTAAAATTTTGACACCCTGTAGCTTGAAAACCAAACGTTTGCAGATCCATGTTTATATGAAACTTTAGTCATAAAATATTGTCAAAGAGCCAAAGAATCACCCCCTTTCGTTTGTATATGATATTTTGGAACACTGCATATTAATATAAGTACTGTTCAATGATCATAATATTATATTAACCAAAACTTAAGAATTATTTCTCTTTAGTTCTTCTTTTTCCTTTACTCCACTTTTCAAAAAAAAACAAAGTTTTTTTTACTGCTTTTTGGCAAAATCTGCGACTTTGGGCTATCTTAACAGCTGCCTTTTAATAAAGTCACAAAGAAAGAATAGACGATAAAAGAGACGTCATGTATTTTTGATCTGCGATTTTGGGCTATTTTGAAGGTTTGGCAAAATCTGCGACGTTGGGCTATCTCAAACTTTTGAGTTCTGCGACACGCGTCATATTTCCTCTGGCAACCCTGCCTTCGAGCGCTTCGGCTGTGCTCGACTTGGCGGGGGCACTGCCGCCGTGTCCCCAGATGAAAGATCTTTGGCAAAGAAATTTGGTAATGTAATACTGGCCTTTTGAATGATTGTTAAAAGTTATCTCTTATAAGAAATATTTATTACAAATTTGACAAATTAAGATTTTTAAAGTTCGTGTATAAATTGTATACCTGGTGTTGCATCGTCGGACGGGACATAGGAAATCCCATGTAAATTTTAATGTGGTCAATTATTGGCTTCCCTCATTATTTTAGAGAATAATTCTATTTAGGTTTATTGAAGAGCACTAAAACCCACATTCAAAAGAATAACTTTAGATATTTTTGATTAGCTCGTTTACGAGTTATCGCCCGATTTCTTTTTAAATATTTCTCCTTTCTTATGGCCCTGTATTTACTTATAAGCATCAGTCAAGGTAAAAGATAACTGTCAAATGAAGTTGTCATTTCAGAAATTTACCTATTTAGTGCTTTATTATTATTGAAAACTCATTCCTACATCGGAAATCTTGAAGATATATTTATAAATACAAATTAACATGAATTAAAGTAAAATAAAGTAATCAATTACAAGGTTAATTATAGTATTATTACAATATTCAATAGGTGACTTATTAATTTACGTACTATTAAATTGTTAGAACTTTAGGATTTAAGATGTTCAAATATTCCTCCATCGACTGCTAGACAATAACCCAGGTGATCATAAAATTCTCTTCTTACATTCGCTAATTAGTAAACTGAAATTCTATTGCATTCGGCAGAAATAGCATTTTTTAACTCGTCTAGATTTGGGTATTATTTATCCTTGTATATCTTGTTTTTTAAATGGCCCCAGAGAAAGAAATCATTTGGCGAAATATCAGGAGACCTTGCTCGCCAATTTACTGTATGACTTAGGCCAATAACGTTTCCGTTAAAACTATTGTCTAAATATTCCCGAACAGCCAGGGTACTATGTGCCGGGCAGCCATCCATTTGGTACCAAACTTCCTGATTTTCCCTAGCGGCATCATGTAAAAACAGGTAAAATATGATTTTCGGGTAGTTCAAATAATATTCTGCATTTAAATTTCGCGTAAGAAATAATGGCCCGATAATATTGTGTCCGAATATCCTACCCAAACATTTACTTTCTGTGGATATTGCGTCCTTGTTTCGACAAACCTGTGTTGGTTTTCTTTGTTCCAAAATCGATAATTTTAAACATTGGGTTCATTATTTAAGGTAAACGTGAATTCGTCAGTGAAACATATGTTTTTAAAAATTCCCTATCCGTGTTTGCTCTTTCCATCATATCAAAACAAAACGCCTGCCGCCGTATTTCGTCCCCATCTCGTAGCTCGTGGTGCTTTTCATATTTGAAGGAATAGTATTTATGTCGTTTCAAAATTCGAAACGCTATAGTGTGATCTATTCCTATTTCATCCTCAAGTTTCCTTGTGCTGATCTTTCCATCGTTCTCTTCCACGCACAATAAAACTTCCAAGTCGGTATCATTTCTTGCACCATCTCTTTGTTCCTGCCTTGCTTCACATCTGCAGTTATTTATTAGGGTACCTTTGGTCTCAAATCTCTGGATATTGCTTGCGATTGTAGATTTTCCAGGTATCGGTCTATTCGGATACAGAGCAGCAAACATGTCCGACACCTTTTGATAACTATTTCCTTGATAATACCATTTAATCATCAATACTTTTTCTTCGGTAGTGTAATTCATGGCTAATAGTTTCGATGTATGAGTTTTTAATAATAATAATAATAAAACACTAAATAGATAAATTTCTGAAATGACAACTTCATTTGACAGTTATCTTTTACTTTCACTGGTGTTCATAAGTAAACACAGGGAGAAATATTTAAAAAAAAATCGGCGATAACTCGTAAACGAGCTAATAAAAAATATCTAAAGTTATTCTTTTGAATGTGGGTTTTAGTGCTCTTCAATAAACCTAAATAGAATTGTTCTCTAAAATAATGAGGGAAGCCAATAATTGACCACTTTAAAATTTACATGGGATTTCCTATGTCCCGCTCGACGATGCAACACCCGGTATGTAATTACTATTGATTACATTAAAAAACACTTTATTTTGTTTTTTTCAAACAATTCTTCATATGTTGTACACAATATCCTTTAATAACAGTAGTAAACGAACAATAAATACATTTGTGAACTTTGCTAGTTATTACTTTCATAATATTTTCAGTGCTTGCATGATTTCTTAATACATGTTCATCAAGAGTTTGTTTATTATTATTTTTATAATCGCATTCTAAGCAAGAGAATTTTTTTATTCCCATGTGACATTGTAAATGTTTTTTAAAAGTGTTTTTTCGTGAAAAACATTTCTCACAAATATTACATTTGTATCTATCGGTATCGTCAATTTCATGTGTTTTTAAATGCCATTTTAAATGCGTAGACTTAAAGGTAATATAATCACAATAAAAGCATTGATGCTTTTTTCTTGAAAGGTTATTTAAATAATCTTTATATTCTGTTCTGTGTGTAGTTATTAAATGATTGTCAAAATTTATCTTTTCAGAGAAATATTTGTTACAATTTTTACACACATATTTTTCGTTTGAATGAATTAAAATATGTGTTTTTAAAGTACCTTTATAAATTGTCGTAAAATTACATTGATAACATTGGAATTTCTCAGCATGATCATCGTGAATTTTCATATGCCTATTCATACTGCCTTTAATATTTGACTTATATCCACATTGTTCACAAGAGTATCGTTTGGAATCATCGTCACTGGAAGGTTTCATTTTTCTAAAAAGAAAATAAATATAAAATAATCTAAATTCGGCACCGCAATCAGTACGATGAATCCTCAGGTTTAAGGTTTTTTCTTGAAAAAAAAAATAATTTAAATTTTATCAGTCTCTCATTAATAAATCTACTTATTGCAAAAATTGCAAAAACGATTCGGCATATACATACTTGAAATTAATAGACAAGTACTTCGGGGCGATTCCATGATTACTAACGGGACAAACTGAACGAAAAATAGAATGTTTTCGAAAAATATTTATAACTTATATCGTTCATACAACAATGACCTTATAATATTTGTTAGCAATGATTTTAAGTAATAATTTGCCAAAAAAATATTACTTGAATATTTATTAGCTTGGCGGAAATATTACAAAAAATGTGTTTACTAACGGGACAAAAAAAACTTCAGACATTTTTTCAAATAATTCAGAGAGACAGACCTGTGAATTTGAACGCCTTACACAAAATGTAAAAATATAGGATGGTAAAGGTCCCATCTAAAAAATATTTAAGCATATTACTCTCATTTACTTATCAGGTGTATAGGTTCTTGGTGGTAATTTATATTTACTAACGGGACGGTTTTTTCCAACAGGATATATTATTATTTTTAAAACAATAAGTTCAAAAATTACCTAATTTAAAGCGACCAAATAATATCAACATATATGAAAAACTGTCAAAACCTAATCCTTAACCTAAAGGCACTTGAAAATTGTATTTTTTTCTGATTCTCGGTATTTTTTAATCAATATATGGTGCTGATCAACGGATCTGAAATAATGTGCGCTTGCTATCCCTGGCAATGGTTTTCCTCAAGACCATTTTCCGTCCAAAAAAGGCTTAACTTCGTTGATTTCATCCTCTGTCACATATATACATCTTATGTTTTCCAACTGTTTGGCGCACTCGAAGAATTCTTTAGCAGAATTAACTATAACCTTCCTGCTTTTAACATCATTCCAGACCTAAAATATTATTTTGTTGATCTTAGTAAAAAGTAGACAGATTATTACACATTGGCATCGAAAAAAACCTCGACGGTCTCTAGACTTCAGATTAGCTACATAATATAGGTTCTCGACGAGAACACCGACCGTGAACGCTCTATAGATCTGTTGCTACCTTTCTCTTAACATTTGCACCGACTCCATCCACTGCACCCTTTCCGTGAGATGTTGCGAAAAAACTCCATGTAATTTCAGGTATGTCCAATTCTTCAGGCAGAAAACATAACGTGGATAAAGTGTATCGATTCTTGAATTGTCCCGCACAGCCGTCACTGAATATAACCAAGCTTTTTAAAACATGTTTTTGGCCAATCCAAGAAACAATATTTTTTATGAAGACGAATACGGAATATTTATCGTGGCTTAAATAGTTGCTGATTATTGTGAATGAGTACACTTGCTTGTCAGATAGCCAGGCCACCCCGGTAAAGACGGTAACTTGTTCATGATGCCAATGTGCACTTTGAATTTCATCCTGTGCAGTCAGGGCAAAATTTTCCGCAAAATCGATTTGCAAAATAACCTCATCTTCAGGGATATTAACTCTCTTAAGATCAAAAAATGTTTGTTGTACATTTTTGATAAAATGGTGTCTTCTAAACGCTGGTAATTGATTTTCCAGCATCATAATTGTGGAATTTAGTGTTTCACATTGAATTACAAGCTTTGTTTGGCCCTCAATAGTAATCCACTGTTTAACTGATACAGAACTTTCTCCATCAAATACCAGTGGTAAACAGGAAAAGGTTAAATCAATTTCCTTACATTTACTGCATTTGTTCAACATGCACAATCCCTGTGTACAATTCCAGGATATTTCAGAAATCAAACTTTTGTGGTCTTTAGGAAAAGTTGTGATGTTTTTCTGAAGAACTTCCAAAATGTAAAAAACGTTTGCGTGATATTTGCACACACAAACATTATGTGGCATTGCGCTGCTAAGCAGGATGCATGATGGTCTGACCTCATAAAATTTACTTAGTTTTATTTTAGTATTTGGATTCTCTTCTGTAAAAATCTGGAAGGCTTCTTTTATAGTAAGATACATGTATCTTTTTGGAACGTATTCGACATGATCGCCTCTTTTTATTTTCACCCGGTCTTTCATTCCAGGAGACACCCTGCTAATATCCTCTCGTAAATAAAATTTTTGAATTTTTTCAATTGCCTCCTGTGATAATTTGCGTTTGTTATCAATTGACGGACTGGTAAACTTGCTCATATTTTGCATTTTTAAATTTGGTTCAATTTTTTCCAGAATTTTTCTTAAAACGGCCACTTTCTTATTTTTATCTAAAGGAAGTGATTTATTTGCCGCTCTTACAGCTTTTCCAAGGCTTTGAGCCGTTTTATAGGGTAATATGTTTTCTTTGTTCTGTAAAATCCGTTCTCATTTTCTTTCCCTATAGCGCCTCTTTCTTTCTTTTTCTTTAATGTTCAGTTCCACTTTCAATGCGATATTATTTTTGGTCAAATCTTTTAGTTTTCCCTGTATTTTTTCTGATTTTTAGCACAATTTTTCAAATAATTTTGTTTTAAATTTTCATTTTCATAAATCTTTTTTCTGTAATTCGAAACACAGGCTTTGATTTTTTGTTTGCGTTCGAAACTAGTTTTTCCCATCCTAAAATATAATTTTTGTTTACTAACGGGTCAAAAATTAATTCAAAAAAACAACAAAGCTAGAACCTTTAAAAAAGAAACAGTTAAAACATTAGAATTTGTTCACACAAAACTTATATTTTTTATCTTATGAAAAAATCTCTTGGCTTGATGTATCGCTATATATCAATTTATTGTATATTTTGTTTACTAACGGGACTTAAAATTTAGATATAGTTATAATATTTTATCACAAAATATACTTACTTGGAAAGAGTAACAACACAATAATTCTATCACTCAAACAGAAGCGCAAACAAACTGACAGCGTTAGCGCATTGCTCAGCTTTTTATCCATAGCCACCTTGATAAAACAAAGCGATATTCTGGAATTTCACTGTGAAAACCAAAACTATTTTGTTCTGACTATTTTCAAGGAGCACTAGATTAGAAAGTTAAGTTATTCTAGTTTTGTTATGTACTATAGACATTATACTACAAATAAAAGTACAAATATTTTAAAAAATGTCTCATTTTAAAATTAACAAAAATATGTATTGTTTGTGGAATCGCCCTTCGGCGAATTTCATTTCACATCTACCTTTAAAACTTAAATCTATCTATTACTTTCTAAAAACAAAGTATCAATCGCACATAACATGCTGAATATGACTAATGTGCCAATTTCAAGCATGTTGTCATCTTTCTTCAGATAATAGAAATGTTCACAAAAAATATAAATGTGCCTACTCGGCCTACTCCTCATAAAATTATTCATTATGACATTAAAACTCAGTATGCAAAGTTTCATAATATTCCGTAAAAGGCTTATGCCTCAAAAATCCGTGCGAAATTATCGTAATCGTTTGAATCCGCTAAACGCGGCCTGACGTCACTGCTTCGATCGGTATTTCCGCGCGAGTAAACGGTGCTGTCTGCACACTTTGGAATTTCTAACAGAACAAGCTAGAATACGACATATCGTGTTGTGCTCGGATGTAGTTTGTATATTAAATTTGATTTATTGTGATTAATATTTGGAGTTTATTACTAGTTTAAAAACAAAGCTACTTAGTGAGATGGAGGACGTTTTTATTTGAAAGCGATAACAAACAACATTTGGTTTTTAACAATACAAATTTATTGAGTTTTTGAGCTGTCAGAGGCCCGTATTTAGGAGGAGGGGGCCAAATTTTAAACTTTAATTATCATATTAAACTGAAAATTTGGATGCGTATGTATAGGTAGAGAAGCTAAGACAATGTAAAATTATCGTATTGTTGATCTGATACAGGGCCGTTTTAAGGAGAAGGAGCCAAATCTTAAATTTTAATTGTATTGACCTGAAAATTCGCACACGTACACAGGGTGTCCAGTTTAAAATGAGGTACCTACATGGGGAATAATGGGGAACTTGAAGACCGTTAAAGTTACAAGATCGGTTAAATAGAAGAAAAGTTGCGTTTTTGCGTGTTCAAAAATAAACTAGGTCTATTTTATTTAATATCCATATACCGTTACGTAAATACAGGGAGAAACAGAAAAATGTGCATTTTCTAAACACCACCATATTTTCTTTATTATCGGAGCTAAGATCATCAAAATTTTAACATAGGGGTAAGGCAATATGGAAATTTTAAAAATAATGTCCAAAAAAGTCTAGGCGTAATACGTTGCGCATAACCGAAGTGCACTTTTGCTTTTCCTATTGGCGCCATATTGAAATACATGGTTGAAAACATTTTTAATAAGGATTTTTAAAATGCCAAATTTAAATATGGCGCTCAAAGAAAAATAAAAGCTGACCTCGGCCGTGCGCAAGATAGAAGGCCTAGGTTTTTTTGATATCATTTTTAAAATTGCCATGTTGTCTTGCCCATAATTTTGATTACCTTAGCTCCAATAATAAAGAAAATATGGTGGTTTTTCGAAAATGGTCATTTTTTCTTTTTCACCTTGCATCTACATAACGGTATGGATTTAAAATAAAACAGACATAGATTATTTTTGGGTAAACAAATACGCAACTTTGCTTCCATTTAACCGACTTTGTATCTTCAATGGCTTCCAAAATCCCCATGTACCTCATTTTAAATTGGACACCCTATAGGACCCATATTAAGCGAAAAATTTACAAGTGAAAAAATTGATAAAAAAACTTTTTAAAAACAAGCTGAAAATTAAATGCACTTAAAAGCAGAAAATAAGAATTAAAAGCAAGGGGCGCAAAGTAACGATTTAAACTTCTGTGGATTATTTTGAAGTATTAATATTAATACACCCAGGGACAAAACACCACTTATTTGAACTCCTTTTACTTCTTCAAAACACCAAAACAATGAAAATAAACAATACACCTTCGCGAACATCTGCAAAAACAATGCGGCAATTGCACGATCGTACGGACGCCATCGATCGATCAAAGCAGTGACGTCAAAAACAGGTAGCCTCGAGCCGGGTACGTTTTCTAGCCTTGCTGCATTTCTCAATTTTGTTTTGCGTTTATGTGAGAAAATCATAGTATTTAAGAAAAATTTTGGTTGCCCTATTTTTTTACTCATATGTAGCTATCGAAATTCATTGAAATTAGAAATTAGTGAACATGTCTATTCTACCGCTTCGGTCACTGCCTTATATCTAAATCAGAGAAGAACAATCGTATCTTGTCTGTCTAAAGGTAGTTCATCACGAGTGCGGAAAAGCGAAATTTCGCCTAAATTTCTTACGTTACACTTTGCGTCAGTTTGTTCCATACTAAACTGGGAATATTCGCTTCTATATGATTTTGCGGTATCGCAAATGGGTTAAAATATTTTTAACTTTTTAGCGATTTATTTTCGCGGGAATGGGATAGGTAATGCATGCTAAAAAGAGAACTTGAATTGGGTGGGAATTGTTTTCTTTTTGAAGGAGTAGAAGATTTTCTAAGGTACTTAATTAATATGACAATTTGACCTTTCTTTCTTTCATTGTCTTGAGAAACAATATTGATACATCAAATTCAAAATCGTAAGCCAGTAATAATAAGATTGATAAGAATGCATATTATCATTTCGCTATGAAACAAATGACACGGAAAAAATAATAAACAAAATAAAATTATGGTACAAAATTTGATATAACCTTTTTTCATTCAATCTCTACAGGATTCCCGGTTACGTTAGGTTAGTTAAACTTTTAACGTCGTGAAATTAATTTGACATTTAATTCCGCAATTCCGCGCTCGCGAGAGACCACCTTTAATCATCTAATTAATTGAACCTTTGCCGCCCGCACGCTCCTTAAATTTATTCCCTTGCAGTTATTCAATTTTATAAACTAAGAACGCGCGTACCTCTGCAGTATTACAAAAATAAGGAATATAAATAATGCTTCACGGGCGTTAGTAGTTTAAACGTTTATGAAACTATGCTTTTATTTATCATACGAAGCGGCAACACTGTAATGCTTAATGTATATCAAGCAGGTACTTCGAAGTCCGAATGAATAAGATTTTTCAAAAAATTCAACCCCGGGTTTGCCATAAACATTTATTTATGTATAAAACTTACTTTTTCATCGGTCTTTGACTGCAATATTTCTCGTGATTATTCCTCATATCGTCGGTACTCATGCCGACATTGCAAAATTGGCATGAAAATATTTCCCCAGTATGCACTAATTTATATTTGAAACGGCAACGTCGCTCGTGCTCGTCTAAATATTTTTTGGAACTCAATCCAACATGGCAATGACGGCAACAATGTGAATTTTTCAACTGGATCTCGACTGCGGGATCAAAATATCTGTATTTGAAAAATTGCCATTTTAGTACATTGTAATGTTTTTTTTAGTCAAATTTTACATAATATACCTATTATATACTTACTTTTTTGGCTCAATACCCAACTCTTTAGCAAAAGAATTTCCGTAATACACCAATAGTTCTTCACCTTTTTTAATAATCCGCACTGTACGGTAATACAGTTCACCTTTGTACTGAAAAGCCACAACGTTTTGGTATTTCATATGCGGGGCACAATTTACATATCTCATCCAATTCGAAATAGTCTCGTCTGCAGCATCTACCTGTTGAATAAAACAAAAATGACTATAATAAACATATAAAGTAAAAATTCCTTATAAATTTACCAACTTTCCGTTTCTTAGTTTCCAGCTATAACCACCCGTACTAGGTATCCTTGTTACAGTACCTTCATAAGGCCCCAATTGTAAACCGCAAGGGAGTTGACGCGCGGCGAAAACTCCCAAACCGTGAATGGTGGACTCTTTAATTTCAAAGATATGAGGAACAGTTTTTTTGGCCCTATCTGTTATACCCATTGGCACGGGGACGTCTTTTATCATCACCAACATACCGCAAGTTTGACAGTAATCCAGTACTTCCTGATTACAGTTATCACAAACTAAAATAACATAGATTTAAATATATTTTTACAAAATATCTATTATTTTACTTACAGATATATCTATCTTCCTCTCCTTCTTTTTCCTCATAATAAGTCGTTACAAGGGTTTTTGATTTTCTTGCCGGATTTGTACGCACCGCATTTAATGGTTTTCTAAATTGTTCTTTTTCGGTCGTTGCCGCTAATTTTTCACGATCTACGAATTCTCAATAAATACATACATACAAAAAAATAAACTAATCATGGTAAATTACCGTCTTCTGTACATCTAACATAAAACGTATACAACAACCTGTTTCTAGTTTTCTCTTCTGGAGTCATTGTTTCCAACATTTTCTCGTTAAAAAACATTTCTTCCGCAGTCGGAGCAACTTTTTTAGTTTCAACTATTGTTTTACTCATGATTTGCGGTAAAAATTATCGATAATTACACTATTTTTCGATTTAAAAACATAAATAATTTAGGAACACCAAAGAAATTTGTTTAAAAAAATGGCCGTTTAAAAATCTGCGCTCCAGTGTTGCCAAGTTGTCTTTATCTAGACCAATTTTTATTATATTTTAAATCAAATTTTATAATTACCCTAAATAAATTATTTGATTTATGTTAATTTTGAAATAATAAATGTTTATATTATGTAGGTATTAATTGTAAGTAATTAAAATTTAGGTTTAGAGTTGACTAAAACTGGATATTAAATTTGGCAACAGGAAACAAATGTCACGCGGCAAAACTTAAAACATTTGAATATCGCTAGAGCTGTGTTGTTCTAGTTCTGTTATTTGCTGTTAATCTTTGGTTACTTAAAGAGAAAATAATTAAAGATATGAAGTATTTTAATAACAGAAGAAATTTAATATTTCTAGAATTTTTCTTAGAATTCTGAAATAAGACGTAACAGTGTTTTTTTTGGAATAGTAGGATACAATTACAAATCGAGTCACTATTTTTGAAAAAAGTGTGCCCTGATTTTTTAAAAATCATAAATACATACATGAGTTACCTAAGTAAATAAAACAAAGCTATCAGGTAATCAAAAATTTATTAACTAATTCAGAATATTGAGAAATATAAATTAAAAACACTTATTATATATAATAACTTTATTTGAAACATAATCTTACAGTACTACAGTACCTAACTATAACAGAGTATATAACGGAGTTAAAAGAATTTTTAATACATAAATTTATTACTTTCAAAACATTAACATATTTAAACTATTGAGCATCTTAAAGAACCTGGAAAAGTTAAGAACTAAATCTGTATAATAATTGACTTTCATAAAATGTTAATTATTTTTCATTAAATTTTAACTACATATTTTAAAATATTTATTAAAAATACTTTATTTATTAATACCATAATAATATATTTAAAGAATTAATCTTTTAAAACAATTATGACTAATATTAAAAAAATAGAACTCAAGTACACAAAAATAAGAATTAAACAAAATAGAGAGACTATTTAACAAAACTCAATTGTGTGGTGGATTTGAGAATATGTACAGGGTGGGTCAAATTCGACGCTTTTAAATGAAAACACTCTTTTCTATAGGAGATAGATGAAAACTAATATCGGTGTCTGGAGCTCAATTTTCATTAAAAACATGATGGTGAAAACCGCACATCAATATCTGTTACTGTTTCGGAGTTACGGGTGTTTTTCAAAAATTTGCATTTTTAACAAATCGCTGTAACTTTTTTGCTATGGAAAATTCTGTATTTTTATGAAAACATTTCCAAAGCACCTTTTTACGTAGAATTTCATGGTTTAAGTATAATTTTTTTAAAGTTAATAATTTAAGAGTTATCAACAGAAAAATTGATTTTTTATTTGGGACCTCTATATTTTACCCCTCTATATTTTTAATTAACTGAAAAGAATTTAAAATTACCTTTCCAAAAATATAGCACACTTGATATTTTGTTATAATCCCCTTCGAAATACAGAATTTTTAAAAGTTCGCCACTTTTAACTAGTAGGTTTTGGACCCCTTATTTATGATATGCCTTTAATGGAACTCGAAAACATATTTTTCCAGCAAGACGACGCACCGCCTCTGAACGCTGAAGTTATCAGCAAATTTTTGCAGCCAATTTCAAGAATAATTGAATAGCTAACCAAGATCCTAGCTGTTGGCCGTCGAGGCCGCCTGACTTAGTGCCCATTGATCTAATCCTATCGATATATTTGCGGAAGAATAAAGGTTCCTTATTCTTCTGTATAATCTAGACAAGAATTAGAAATACTTAGCAGTTATGAGAGGGTATCTTTCACCCCCACTGAGTTGAATTCCGGGAGAAATGTTCAAAAACTGCCCCGTCTGTCCATAACAGAAGACGGTCGATATGTCGAACACTTGTAGCAAAATCTCATGTCTTGGTTTGCTATTTATTTTTATTGTTAATAGATATAGTTTAAATGTGTTGATGTTGGTTAAATATATTTTAAATAGTTATAAAATTCTGCATCTCTCATAGCAAATATATTATTTTTTGGTATTAACTGATGCCCGAATTTTTTTGCATTACCAGCCGGCGCCTTCAAAGCCTACTTATTTAAAGCGGGCGAATTTTTATATACTCTATATCTCGAAGAGGAATCGAGCAAAATATCGAGTGTGTTATATTTTTGAAAAGGTAATTTTAAATTCTTTTCAATAAATTAAAAATATACAGGGTGTCCCATATAAAAAATCAAATTTTCTGTTGATAATTCTTAAATTATTAATTTTAAGAAAATTATACTTAAACCATTAAATTCTACGTAAAAAGATGCTTTGAAAATGTTTTCATAAAAATACCAAATTTTCCATAGCAAAAAAGTTACAGTGATTTGTTAAAAATGCATATTTTTGAAAAACACCCCGTAACTCCTAAACGGTAACAGATATCGATATGCGGTTTTCACCATCATGTTTTTGACAAAAATTGAGCTCTAGAGACCGATATTAGTTTTTGTCTATTTCCTATAGAAAAGGGTGTTTCTATTTAAAAGCGTCGAATTTGACCCACCCTGTACAGGGAGTATCATTTTAAATGGCTCACTCAATTTGAAGATAGTAAAAGAATTTTTCAATCTAATTTTACCCGAAGATGTCGATTTTTTACCTATATTTTTTTTAAATGTCAAATTTGACATTATACGACGCCATCCTATTTTTTTTAAATGGAACCCCCTCCCCCCATATATTTGCATCACCCTTTGGCATCACCCAATAGACAATTTTAGCTAATTTCAAAAATGTATAGTTTAGTATATTTTACATTTACATTTTTTGATATACAGGGGGTTGAAAAAATTATATCTTCCAGAATCATTTTAAGGGGATAATTTACAATTTTTCTATTTCCTATTTAAAGATAGTAATATAAATAGGTTAATAATCCGCACTGTCCGGTAATACAGCTCACCTTTGTACTGAAAAGCCACAACGTTTTGGTATTTCATATGCGGGGGGCACAATTTACATATCTCATCCAATTCGAAATAGTCTCGTCTGCAGCATCTACCGGTTGAATAGAACAATAGTGACTTTAATTAACATATAAAGTAAAAAATCCTCATAAATTTACCCACTTTCCATTTCTTAGTTTCCAGCTATAATTACCCGTACTAGGTATCCTTCTTACAGTACCTTCATAGGGCCCCGATTGTAAACCGCAAGGGAGCTGATGCACGGCGAAAATTCCCAAACCGTGAATTGTCGACTCTTTAATTTCAAAAATATGAGGAACAGTTTTTTTGGCCCTATCTATTACACTCATTGGCACGGGGAGCGTATTTCCATAATATACCATGTAGAGAGCATAAGGTCATTTTATACGTAAAATTATATAGGAAATGTCATCGATCGTCATTTCCAAGCCAACTGGACGCCGTTTTTTTTCGATCATACGGTATTTTTGCTCAAGCACCATTTTTTCTTTTTTAGTCTCTTCTGAAGGCCCTCCTGATGAGCCTTTTATTGCGAGCGCGAACCACAAGTTCTTCTGGATAAAGCTCTTGGTTGTACTTGCCTTTTTTACAGTTTATTGTGATATTTGTGAGAATTATTTTTAACTGCCGCTCTGTATCAATATTTATGATGTGACTAAATAATTAAAGCGTGTTAATATTTCTAGCATCTGATTACTTTTCTATTTCTGTGTTAAACTTATTATTTTTTTCATATTGGTTTTCTATAAAACATGCTGAGCTTCAAAACTGTCTTTCCTAAATCTTAGGTCCGACAAATACAGGGTGTCCCAGAAATAAGTGCAAATATTTTAACTGGTAGTATAGTTCAACACCAGAAACGCGCCTATGAGGTTTTTTTCGCGAAAAAAAAAATTGAAAATTCGAAATTTTTTGGACATTTTTTTAGTTTTTAGTTAAAAATATGATTTCTTGATAATTAAGCGTTACTTACAGCACTGTTTTTTTTGGTGAATAGCCAGCTGTTGACTCTTGTGAAGCTGAAGCACTATTATACATATCGAGAATTTTACTTTATGTTTTTAACATAATCTCTAACACACTGTTTCCTGATGCACCTAATGCTTGTTTACAATTTGCGTTCCCAAACTGGCTAATTCAATACAAAATACAAGAAGTGACTAAGAATTCACACGTGGCTTATATCACGTTGTAACGCTGAGAAGTCTACTCCGTATGGAGTTTTGGTATTTCATATGCGGGGCTACTATATCATATATATAGTATTATACCGCATTTGCCGCCATATTATCCTATTCCATTCTATACCGCGTTAGGGACATCTTTAATATGTCTTCAGTGCTGAAATAAGTTTGAGGGCGGGGCTTAGAGACCCTATGCTCTCTACATGGTATATTATGGAAATACGCGCACGGGGACATCTTTTACCATCACCAGCATACCGCAAGTCTGACAGAAATTCAGTACCTGATTACAGTTATCACAAAGTAAAATAATAGATTTAAATGTATTTTTACAAAATATCTATTATTTTACTTACAGATATACGTATCTGTCTTCCTCTTCTTCTTTTTCCTCACAATAAGTCGTTAGAACGGTTTTTGATTTTCTTGCCGGATTTGTTCGCACAGCATTTAATGGTTTTCTAAATTGTTTTTCTTCGGTCGTTGCCGCTAATTTTTCACGATCTACGAATCCATACAACCTGTTTCTAGTTTTCTCTTCTGGGATCTTTTTTTCCAACATTTTCTCATTAAAAATCATTTCTTCTGCTGTCGGAGCGACTTTTTTAGAATCGTCCGTCGTTTTACTCATGTGGTTCGCGGTAAAAATTCTCGATAAGTGCACTATTTTCCGATTTAAAAACGGAAATTATTTAGGAACACGAAAGAAATTCGCTTCAAAAAATGGCCGTTAAAAAATCTACCCTCCAATATTGCCAAGTTGTCTTTATCCAGACGATTTTTACTATACTATAAATCAAATTTTATAATTACACTAAATCAGTTTTGTATTAATTTTGAAATATAAATGTTTATATTATGTGGGTATTAATTAGGAAGTAATTAAAACTTATATTTTAAGTTAACCAAAACTGGATAGTAAATTTGGGAACAGGAAACAAATGTCAAGTGACAAAACTCAAAAACAGTTTTGAATATTGTTAGAGTTCTGTTAATCTGTTAATAATTTAACCACTCAAATAAAGTACGTCTACTGGATTGGTCCACGTGGACTTGACAAGTATGTCGCAGCAAAACACTCCGCCCACTCATTTTATTGGCTACTTTGCAAATTTGTCGAATTTTTATTCATGGGACGCATCGTCTATTTTTTTATGCGAAACATTGAGAGAATATCGTTTCCCTCCTTACGGATGCCCCGTAACTACAAAACAGATAGACGTACTGTACATTAAGTAAAATTGACATTAAAGGTAGTAATGTACCTGAGTACGTCCAGACCTGAGGAGCCAAGCGCCAGACATCCCAAATTCGCTAAGTGTGGACGGGTCTCGCGAGACAACCCACGGAGCCTCGTTGCTATCCGTCGCCTGTCGGCGACAGATCAAAGAAGTCTGGATATGTTTTTGGTAGGCTCGCTCGACTGCGAGATGTTAGCTCTGATTTATGAATTTCGACTATTTAAAATTAAGTAGTCTCACATTTTAAATGGTACACCGTATGTATTATCATTTTTTCTGATAGAATTTACAAATTTTGCGTCGCTGATAATTTTTACCGCACCGAAATCATCAATCAATTTTTTACGAATAATTTGATACCACACACTTGGTATTTCGAGTCAAATTGTCATTATGAACCGCATGTTACAAAGACATTTTCCTCATCTGACATATTATGATATATCATACTATTCAGAGTGTCATTTTCTACCGAATAAAGTAAAACAATACTGAGGATGCCATTTAAAAATCAAAAGTTGCAGTCATTTCCGGTAAAACAGGAAGTGACCAAAAACAATTGAATACGTCAATCAGTCCTAATCTATGTCATAAACTAACATACCAAATCTCGTTTCTTTATCTGAAAAAATAAAAAAGTTATAGGGGTGAGCCACTTTTGAGACGCACCCGGTATTTTAACTTATGTGTACTCAGCAATAAATCAAACACATTTGATGAAAGTGGACAACCGACTTTATTATCTAAAAGAATACATACGTAAATATAACCTACATTGGAACGTTAAATTTAATTTAACTAAAACTAATGTAACTTTAAAATAGAACAATAATTACATTTTTCCATACAAGAACATGGCTCAATTGATACATCTTTCTGTCTGTTTGCTCAATAATTTTTATAGTGACATACTGATTTGACTTAGTATTTTCTCATAGATGAGCTTATAGTTTTCCCGTACTCGAATCTACCATCGTTGTAGCTATTTATCCCAGGAGGAGGGGGACACAGTGGTACCAATCCCATATTAGAATTGTTGGAAAAAGGTCTGCTACCACTCGCTGCTCCTTGGCTGTTGGTATTCCACCTGTACAAATTAAATAAATATCAATAGAGTGTCGTCCCATTTCAGTACACTCTGTCCAACGAAATGGTTTCTGACAGTGACAGTTGTGTCTGTCATTTTAATTCGCAGGAAAATCGAGTTTCCTGTCATTTTTTTGATGTCGTCTGTCGAAATGTTCCCTGATTCGTTGGACACATTATACAGGATGTCTTAAATAGGTGTAATTTTTTTAGGGGTAGTATATTTGGACCCCAGAATCACCAGATAACATTTATTAGTATATTAATTATTTAAAGAAAAAATATTCAAAGGTAAATTGCCTAATAATTTTTAGTGATTAAGTTGCCTAACATAAATATATATTTCACTGACTTGAAAGTCGGTTTAAAAAACGATTTTAAATAACTCAACTTGTTTTTTGAAAATATAGAACATACTTCAGAGGTTTTCATACTTTTAAAGCAACCGAGTAATGAACACTCAAGAGATAGCAGTCTACACAGATGCTTCCGCGGGGGCACAGGTATAGGCATCTTCTCAGAGAAACTCCATTATCCGACGATCTTTGAGGCTATCGGATGGCTGTAATGTTCTACAAGCAGAGGTTTACGCCATAAAGGAAGCGGCTAGATGTATACGAGAGAAAATTGCTGGTAGACCAATAGGGAATATAGTGATGTACATACTCTGACAGCTTGGCCGCTTTAAGAAGCATCTCCATGCAATCAGTGAGATCGAAAACTTTGATGGAATGCCGAGAAGCACTGACCTGGCTGCGTCGGGGCGGGGCTACTCTGTGCTGGGTGCCAGGCAATGAGGTTATAAGGGGGGGAGGCGACATAAGCTATCGAGAAACGTACCCAGTTACGCCATATTGGCACTGGCAATTCTGACAGTTCAGTTTTTGAGGTTAAGTGCGTTGCTGTGAGTGTTTTTTTAATTTTCCAAGACTATTTTTCTGTTTTTATTTGAATATTTGGACTTTCCGAACATGTCTTCGTGTGCTGTAAGTAGTTGTTGCAGTCGACAACGTGTAGAGAGGAAGAAATCCACTGAAATTGCATTTCACAGGTAAGTGTAAACATAATACAGGACCTGATTAAATTATTTTCGTATTTTTCATTTAACTAGTTATGCGTTTATTAATTAAATATTAAGTGTTTTTATATTGGCAAAGTGTTTAGTTATTTAATACTTTGCAATTAAGTGATTAAAACATGCCTCGACTTCTATTCTTGTAAAAAAAATTCTTAACAATATCTGTTATTTTTACTACATATACTTTTTTTGACAGGAAAGAGTATTTTGCTAGGCCAAATTTAAAAGTTTTGTTTTAACTACGGTTTATTTTTCTATTTTTACACTAAGATTTTGTACTTAAACATTTATTTACATTCCTTTTTAGCATCTGCTAGCATATACTATGTACAAACTTTATATAGTATAGCTTTAATTTTTAGATAAATATTATAAAATCAACAAAGTAAATTTACTTTTTGCAGATAAAGTCTTAACGACTTATATTTATTGATAAACATTTATTATTCTAATAAAATTTTATATCAGAACATTTTAAATTTAGTACGTAGTATATAAATTTTGCTCTCTTTAGAAAATTTTTATCAAATAAATATTATATTAAATCTGATTTTTAGGTTTCATAAATCCCATCCGTCGAGAAGCTTAGGTGAAGTTTCTGAACAGGAGAAACTGGCAAGCTACATCAGGTAGTGTTCTATGCTCGAAACATTTTTCTGATAGCTGTTTTGACAGAACATCTCAATAAAATATCTCAAATAAATAATCATTTCCTAAGATTTCTAAATTTTAATGATTATCAAAATGTTAATTATGGTAAATCAGTAATCATGTTTAATTATTTTCCGCTTTTTTTCTATTTTTTTTTTAAATGTTAAGGTTATTATTGTTAGATACATCAATAAAAACAAGGCAATTAGTTTACATACTAGCAACAAAACAGTGTTATTTAGTGAGCAATAAAATTTAATTTATTTAATGTGTATTATTTTTTTGTGTTTCCTTCTTAAATATACATAGTATATAGTCATTAAAATTAATCTTGTAGTTTATATTTTTGAAAAAGTTGAGGTCGTTATATTGTGTAAAATAAAATTTTTCAAAGAAGTTTCTGTAATCCGGCCCTGCTAATGCCGCCATATTGGTGCTGGCTTAAGCCACGCCTAGTGTTACCATTTTTCCTAAGCACTTTAAATGCTCATAGCGTCTCCCTGTATACAACCTCATTGGTGCCAGGCCACAGCAATGTGGTGGGCAATCAGGAAGCAGACAGACTCGCCAAAGACGGGGCCAGGGGAGAGGCCGTGGCAGATGACCCACCACTTGTGACGAACAACACACCGAAGGAGGCTATAGGAACTGCCATCAAAGCCAAGCAGCAAGAGACGTGGCAACACCGTGAGGACTGCGCTACAGCTCGAAGACAATTAGCCAGTGGTAGATAGCAAAAAGACAAAACTACTAGAGCACAAAAAGGACCTAGTACGCATAATTGTAGGTGTCGTCACTGGAAACTGTCCCACAGGGGTAAACCTCGTAAGATGGAAAGGTTCCGACGACGACTACTGCAGAGAATGCGGAGAGGAAGAAGAAACTATAGAGCATCTGCTGTGCCACTGTCCGGCACTGGAATACCGACGCTTTAAAACTTTAGGGTAAGGTTTTTTGGAGGGACTAGAGGAAGCAGCAGAAACCAACATCAGCGACATCGGGAACATTGCAAAGAGCTGAAAGTGCTTTAACGCAAAGGAAGAATGAGAGGAAGGTTTGGTAAAACAATACAGGGGTATCGCAATGGGCCCAAGGCCTCCGAGTGAGGGATCAAATATGATCCCAAACCCCAGCAACCTAACCTAACCTAACCTAACACATATCTTGTTTTTTGAAAATATAGAACATACTTCAGAGGTTTTCATACATTTAGCGTTGTGGAGTTCTCTAAGGATATGTTTTAGTCATAAGGTCTAGTTATCCACTAACTTATCACGCTACAAAAACAAACTTTCAAACAGAACACAAATCTAAAATATCATCGGAAATCCAAATGAACTCTTTATTATCACAGGTCAAACAGCAAAAAAGCATATAAAAAGTGACGCTTATTAAATGTTTTTATTGTTATGACTTTTCAATCTCAAAACATATTTTAATAACGTTTCCCTGGTTACTGGTTCTATGTGTTGCCCATTCTTCGAAGATATTTTTCAAAATAGTATTTTAAAACATTTTTGAAAAAGAATTTATCGTTATATGATTTAATTTTTGTTTAAAATTTATATAAAAAGTATATTGAAATAATATAACAAATATTTTCAAAATAATAAATACATGTATCAGTTACATCTTGATTAAAAAATTTCAATGGTGTATATTTTTAGTAGTTGTTGTCAACGCAGGGAAAAAACGCTCTAAGTTAGCATTGACGTCTAATATCGTTCTGCGCATGCTCAGTAGCGTATTCAGAGAGAAGGATAGATTTATACGATAATCTTGTTCTTTGAAAGAAAGAAATTGAAAAATGGGCATGTGAAAGTCCCGTAAACAAAGTCGCGTGTAATATACATATGGTACAGCTTTATACACGATTTATCTATTTTTTCCATAGCAACTGTTAAAATTACCTTACATCTATCAAAAATAGTAGATAAAATAGTACTCTAACCGCAAGGGTAGAATAAATGATACTTTAACAGAGAGGATAGTTAAAAACTTTATTTCTTCTCGCACGTTTTTTAATTGCTTCCATTTTTGAAAATTTTTGTATTCCTTTTCATAAGTTATTCGGGATTTAAATGGAAGTAGTTTGGATATGGCTTTTGTCGCCTCAGCATGAATATCTCTTGGTAATTTACTTATTTCGTTTTGAGCCCAGGCTCCAATTCAATTAGCAATCGACACGAGAAAGAGAATTAAAAAATATTGATTCAAAACTGACCATAGATAAATGAAACAAGTTTAGATTGGAAAGTGCCCATAAGGACAATGTAAACACTATTTGGCGCTATTCTCGCAACGGTCGCGACCCAAAACTTTTGAAAATTTCGGAGCGGTTCGGCTTTTTCCGGAATTATATCGCCAAATATTGTTTATTCAAATTTATTATTATTTTCGTTTAATTTTATAAATAAAATACAGTGAAAGAAATACAAGAAACTTTATTTTATATAAGGACGCATGTATGAAATACCTATGAAACATTGGAAACCGACGTTATGCCACGATCCACGATGGTTTTTGCAATTCACAGTCCACAGCACAGCTTTTTAAGTTTTTAATGCCACTTTTTCACAATTATCACCGGTTGGAGTAAATAAAACTTGAATTAAACTCACAAGATAGCAATAATTACTTTGAAAATGGACGCTATAAACACTTTTCGGAATTTCTTTAATGAGAGCGGTTTAGATTATGAAAGACTATTATGATTTTTGAAGATTCTGACTTTGACAAGAGAAAATTATTTCTGTTTTTGTTTGCCGTTGTTCTTAGCGACCGCTATAGCAGCGCCAGATCGCGTATAACGGTCGCGACCTAAAATGTTTACGGGCGTTCCAATCTAAACTTGTTGCATCTATCTATAAAACTGACAACTAAAGAGACAGCTTTATTTATTTGTCAAATTACATAGAAACCAACGCAAACCAAGCACAATATTTTTTCTACTCTTAATAAATTCCTTGAAATAATAATTTCTGAATATTTTTTAAAACGTAACTCGCTATGGAAAAAATATTGTTTTATAAACGACGATAAAATTGTATTATCGTAATACCATTTTATCGTCTTGTATAAAAAATAACTATTATGTGTGACTTAAACAAAACCCTACCTGTCTGATGAGGACTGTCGCCAATCTTGTTTCGTTTCCCACGGTTTCGGTGCGTTACTCACAAATTGGCCGGGAGTTTGGCTAGACCAATTATTCGCCCTCCTATCGAAACTTGGCGCATCTGAAACATTTTCAATCAAAACAGAATTCAAGAAAGAATCGAATTTTATCGTTACCGTTGTAATCTCTTCCTCTCTTGTCACCATAAGAGTTGTCGCGTTTGGGATCGTATCCTCCGGATCTGGCCTTGTTATAGGAATCTTTTGAAGGTCCAGTGAATTTTTTCGGACTCAGCTCACGAGTTTTTCTAAAATAAAAGTAATATGTGAAAGTCGTTGGATACACGCAAGGACTGTATATATTCTAAAGGACTGTTCGATCGCGTCAAATCGCCGCGATCATAGTCGCCGTGGATGCTTACGTCACGCAGGGACCAGCGCTCCACAGTGCGGTGGATGGTTATTCTAGCGGGACAAAATCTCAGGAGCAATATTTGAGACTTAAAATCTAAGAACGTAGCAAATGGTCTAATATATAGCAACCATATGGTTAAATTTATTTATTTATTAACAACTTAATTTATTAATAAATAAATACAAGATAATAAAACTATGATATTATTCGTACATGACACACAAAAACCGTACTGTAAACTATTGCCAAATACATATAATTATGATATCCGGTGAAATACTTACAAAAAACTCTTTAGCAGTTATTTTTTAATTACTTTGTAATCTTGTGACACCCTGTATATTTTATTTTAAAAAATTCTGTTTTATTCTGAAAATAATAAATAAGATAGATATTTTAATTTTAACACTCGGTAATTGTAAATTCATATAGAGTAAGTATCTAAGACAATTTTTTAAACTTTTATTAAAACTAGTAATAATCATTTAGTTTTATTATAAATTATCAGAAAGTAAAAAATAAGGCTTTAGCATATTGTCATGCTTTATTTAACTAGAACATCATTTGTATGTTTTTGTCTTGAGGAAAATTGCCGAACTGATTGTTGGTGTCATTCATCAGCTGCCCATACACGGAAAGGCCCGGCCTTCGGAGTTGGCCTTGGGTCCGGGCCTTTAACCCAAAATATCATAGGTTTGCGTGAAAGGCAAAGTCCGCGGATATATTTCCGCTATGGTAATTTGGGTGAAAGTCCAAAGGCCGGGCCTTTCTTTCCGTGTATGGGCAGCTATTAATTTTTTAAACTCAGTGCCTTTCGATGGAGTTAAGGTTTCAACAATTATAGCAGCCTCCTTACTCCCACTAGCCCTAAAGCTCATAGTACTTGCAAAACCCAATTCTTCTTTTGAATGCTCTTCAATTAACCATTTAACGAGTCTTTGTTTCGTTTTTATACTATCCGATTGAAATGAAACTTTTGGGCATTCACCTGTTAAGCTTGAACTCCTTGTAACTGTGACTACCTGTGTTGGTAACTATTGGTAACTCAAAAGATCTACAACATCATGCAATATATCAATATTTGAAACAAGTGCAAGTTTGATATCTGCAGAACAAAGGCACGAATTATTTTAACAAATAATATACCTACAGTAGAAAAGTACATACCTTTGGCAATCTTCAACATAATTTGGCTTTGAAATGAATAAGCATTTTTAAATATTTTGTTTTCGTATGACCTCTGCTTTGCTGAGCAGAAAACGATCAAATTTGCTTGATAAAAATGTATCGAAATACAAAGAATATTCATGCATTTTTATATCAATTGGAATGTCTACTATTTATTCTTATCCATAGACTTAAAATAAAATATAGACTGAGCATCTCATTCATAAATAGCTGGAACATGCGGTCAGACACTGTCTTGTTATTGTTGTGTTACTGTTTTAGGTTATAACGAGTGCGACACGAGCGATAGATAGGTTGTCTCTGTCGTAACGGTCGTTCCCTGACGACTCTGCCGAAAAACACAACACTGTCTTTCGTTTCTCAAGTACACCTGAACTCTCCGTATCATAGCCGGGTAATTTTTTTATTTTAATGAAGCTATAATTAAATTAAAAATATATCGTATATAAACTTTTTTATATTTTATTAAGATTTAGGACAGGTTTTTTACATAAAAGTTTAGAAAAAACGTCTTAGAGTCCGAAAAGGATAAACATAATAAAATACACGTTATAGAAGAAATTTTATAATCGAAATTACGTAATTTTTGAAATTAATAATAAATTATTAATTTTAGTCAAACATTTACAACCCCTAATATTAATCAAAACCGGATCTATTCCACAGATATAATAGAATCGGCGACAGGGAGAGAAAAAAAAATGATTGTTGTAATTTTTTTTCTAGTTAAGTGATGTCTTATTATGTAAATTAGAGAAAACATAAATCTGTTCCATTAAAGCAAGGAAGGTGATAGGAAGTGGATAAAATAAAAACTACATTTATTTAACTCGGTACTGTCTTTATTATACCGGGTGCGGCTCAAAAGTGGCTCATCCCCATAATTTTTTTATATTTTCAAATAAAAAAACAAGATTTAGTATGTTAGTATATGAAATAAATTAGGATTGATTGACGCATTCAATTGTTTTTGGTCACTTCCTGTGTCACCGGAAATGACTATAACTTTTAATTTTTAAACGGCACCCTCGGTATATTTCTACTTTATTCGATAGAAAATGACACTCTGAATAGAATGAAATATCATATGTCAACTTTTGACATTTTCGCATATGGTTTAATTGTAATTGTAACACGCGGTTCATAACGACAATTTGACTCGAAATACCAAGTGTGTGGTATCAATATATTCATAAAAAAATGCTTTTTCCAAATATGCTAATGAGTACCCTTGTTCCATTTGAAAAAATTGACATATGTATGATTAAAAATACGATTTGTACATCTTTTAACCGGCCTACACAAGACACGAAACCCATTAGACGATCAAAACTATTTTTCCAAGGTTCCTTGATTAAAACTTAGTGTTTTTAACAACACCATGACACCCTGGATTGAAATTTAAAATACGATTTGTTTTTAAGCGACAATGTCAAAAGTTGACATATGATATGTCATCCTATTCAGAGTGTCATTTTTTATCGAATAAAGTAGCAATATACCGAGGGTGCCTTTAAAAATCAAAAGATGTAATCATTTCGGTGAAACAGGAAGAGACCAAAAACAATTAAATATGTCAATAAATCCTAATTTATGTCATATACCTACTAACATACAAATCTTTTTTTTTATCTGAAAAAATAAAAAAGTTATTAGGGGTGAGCCACTTTTGAGACGATCCGGTATATTAAGAAATATTGTTTCATAATGTAATATCATTTTAAAATTCTTGTATGTTATTTTAGATTCTGAAGATAATTTTAGAATAAACCGGAATATATTTTTAATAAAAACATTATTAATTATTAACAGGGAATTAATTATGATTTTGTTACAATGTAAGTAAGTAAATAATGTAATGTAAGAGAAAAAATTCAGATTTTACATTTTACTAAAATATTATCTAAATAAGCGCCTTTCTACAACAACGCCACTGACTCCTAATAGGTAAATTGAGAGTTGCCTACCGGTCGAAAGTCGTTTCAAGACTTAAATGGATTATTTAAGTCAAATTTTTTGAAAATTTGGCACTGTCGAACCATATTTTATAGTTCTTGAACAGAAAAAGTCAATAAAATAAACACTTAAGGACTACAAGCTAAGAGAATGCGTTAATACAGCCGGGGAGATAGCGGCAACAAAGCTTTACCGCACACGTGCGACACGTACTACAAGGTAATAAATGAATGAATAGGCTCCCTCGCCTCTAATCGGTGTTGTCATATTGTAAAGAACTTATCCTTATTAAACAGTATCCGACTTATAATTTAGTAGTATAAAGACTATTTAATCATCTATGGAATATTAAAACCTACTTTATTAAACTGTAGTATTAATATATCAATATATGTGTATAACAAGAAAAAAAATATTGATAATATTAAAGACGTGACAACATAGGCTGGATGAGGAAGGCTCGGTCGACTGTACCCAGAAGTAAACATGTGTACAAAAAAGGTTGTTTGTCCGCGTTGAGATGTAAATAGTGTAGTCTATATTTTATTTTAAGTCTATGTTCTTATCAGTACACACTTTTTATTTATTTCTAACCAAACGGTTTTGTCCCGCTAAATTTATCTTCCACCGCACTGTGCGCTCGTCCGTCAAACGCACAAATAACTGTCACTGTCTAAAATCTTTAGCGCCAACTTCAACTCGGTCCCTAGATAACGTAAAAAACTGACAGTGCAGGAAGATAGGAATCGAACTATCCTTACCTCTATAGTATCCTTGGGATACACGGACATTTGCTAAATCTTAAAAATCAGTGATAAACAAGTAAAAAACACTAAAATTAAGTTATCACTTACTTTGAAGTGTCGAATCTCGGCGGAGGCGGGGCTTCGAAACGCCTGTCAGAAGGCGCCGGCCTCTTACGGTCATCGTACCGATCGTCGCCCCTATACGGAACCGGTCTTTTCCCAGTCCTACGGTCCTCCTCCATTCTCGGGTACGACCGCTGCACCTCCATCTTATCTCTGCCTATCTTCTCTAACCTAGAACGGTCGCCGCCAGGTACAGGCGGTCTTTTCCGATCGTCGAACCGTTCGTCACCTCTAAACGGAGCACGCTTTCGGTCCTCTTCTAGTCTTATCAACGTTCTTTTTAATTCCATTTTTTCCCTGGCGATTTTTTCCCGCTCGAGCCGTTGACGTTCCCGTTCCATCCGCACCAATTCGGCCTTTTCCCTAGCGATTTTCTCCTTTTCCAACCTGAGCTTCTCCTTTTCTCTCTCTAGTCTGGCAGCCTCTTGACGTTGACGTCTCTCGATGTCCCTCTGCCTGAGGCTCTCCTCGTGACGTCGTCTCGATTCTTCCCTTAAGATACGTTCACGTTCGCGCATTTTTTGTCTCTCTCTCTCCTCCTACATTAATGTACAGCGTTAACGTTTTATTTTGTTCCACTTTGTCCCAACAAAATGAAAGGTTTTTGGTCAAATTTTATTGTGTATTACCACAAATGTCAAACTCTGTCAAATGTCACAGTTATTGGTATAAACTACATTTTTAATAGGACATCCTGTATATTAGAAGTGTATTAGATTCATTCTTTTGTCTGATTTCGTAAATATATCATACACACCCTTTCTTTTTAATAGTTTTATTGAAACTAGATAAAATACAGACCTGTGAAAACTATACAAATGTTTAAAAACATTTTTTATCAATAATTGTGAAATTTGTCAACTGTAAAACTTGTTAAAAAAGTTATAACCTATTAATAATATACTGGATGTTTTACAATAGCGGTCCACTTTTGTATTTTTTCAGATAAAACAACGAGATTTGGTAAGTTAGTATGGCATAAATCGGGATTGATCGACGTATTCAATTATTTTCGGCTACTTCCTGTTTTACCGGAAATTACTACTAACTTTTGATTCTTAAACGGCATCCTCGGTGTTTTTTTACTTTATTTAATATAAAATGATATTCTGAATAGAATGACATTTAAAAGGGCATTTAAAAATCCAAAGTTGTAGTCAATCCTGATTTATGTCCTATACACACATACCAAGTCCCGTTTTTTTATATGAAAAAATAACAAAGCAATAGAGGTAAGTTACTTTTGAAAAACATGCAGTAAACAAAGTATATTAAAAGTCTTAACAAACCTTAGAATAAAATGATTAAGGAAGGAGCATATCAAAAAACTTAGATCCACCGCAATGGGACTCAAATATGGCCGACTTAAATTCCGGTATATCAGTGCCGTTCAAATTTTATTTAAAAAATGTAAAACTATGAAGTAGGGTAGACTTGGGGTAGACTCAATAATTTGTTGTTTTATTTTACGTTGTCAAAAATGTTGGTAGTTATTAAAATTGTTATAAAAATATATAATTCTAATAAAAATAGATAAGTTATAATATGTAATTATTTATTAACACAAACATCCGATACGCTACTGAAGCAGGTAAGTCAAATTGACGTATCTAAATTCTTTGACATCTAATCTTTGACAAGTAGTAAATAAAGGGAAAAAATGCGAGAAAAAAATATATAATTAGTTAATTTAAGTGAATTTTATAAACGATCGGTTTGCTACACGTATGTATATTATATAGTCACTTGCTAGCGAAAAGTTATTCCATTATTTCACTCGATTTTTGACCGAAATCTACAGCACGCTACACAACCATTTTACAGTCTTTTTCGATAAATCGCAATAGTGTCACTGTTAATTGAAGTTCTGCCACAATTTCCATCTAGATGTACTACCTTTATACAACTATCAGTAGTAGAATAAATAATAAACAACATAAAATAAGCTCAGTAAAGATTAAGGAACCCCACCCTAGAGTCCCTTTTCCGCCCACCATGCAGGAATGCATGGATAGCATTATGCTCCTTCCTTAATCTTTTTATTCAAAATAACAAACCTAAATAAATACCTTAATTTTATCAAAAGTCAAAATATCTCTGGGTTTCCCGCCATGTAACCTGCGATCCCTGGATCTACTTCTACGATCTCTGTCCCTCTGAAAAGAGTTTGTTTATCAGTACTATAACGATATAAAGAGATCTTATGTCGAGTCCAGACCAAGCAGACAAAACAACGATAACATTCATGTTTTACGACAAAATTGCGACAAATTCAATACATTTCTGCGACTTTTGTTGTCTCATTTTAGTTTTGTTTCAAAATTCGGAGACTTTTCAATGTCCCGTCTCGAGTCGGTAAAGATCAAAGTGTCTATGTTTTGTTCATATATTTTACGACAAGTTGTCGGCGCAGTGTGCTGCCAACAGTAGGAGACCAGTGAAATCACACGTGGTTAATAAAACTCATTCGCAACAACTAAACTTTTGACTTTGTTGTACTTTTGTCCTTACGCTGTGGACAATTTGTATCAAGTTTGTCTTGTCAGAATTCCCCATTTTTTGTCGCAAGGCTTTGTTTTTGTCTCAAAATCGTGTTTACTTTTAGTCGCCTTGGTGTGAACCCGGCATAAGATACAGAAATTCTGTATACAGAAATTCCGTATATATTCCTGTAACAGAATAACAAAACAATAATAGCAGCCCATAAACGTAAGGAATTTTTAAGATTTGTCCCGCAGCGGTCTTTGTCAATACCATAATATCTGTACTCTGAATGGCCCAATGGCCGGGTTGGCGGATATGGAATGTCATATCTGGACTGCGGGACTGATCGCTTAAAAATCACTTGCGTGTATGGGCGGCTAGATCTTAATACCGTGTTCATATACCGGGTGCGTCTACACCCCTATAACTTTTTTATTTTTTCAGATAAAAAAGTGAGATTTGGTATGTTAGTATATGACGTAAATTAGGATTGATTGACGTACTCAATTGTTATTAGTCAATTCCTGGTTCACCGGAAATTACCACAACTTTTGTTTTTTAAATGGCACCCTCGGTATTTTTTTTTACTTTATTCAATAAAAAATGACACTCTAAATAGAATGACATATCATATATCATATGTCAAGTTTCAACATTTTCAAGTTTAGACATTAATTTGACAAGTTTTGACATTAAAAGATCGTATTTTCGTAAATTTCATTCTAGAATGGCTTTCATTCTTCCATGGCTGTGTCAAAAACACTAGTTGTTAATCACGGAGCCTTGGAAAATTAAATTTGACTATCTTATGTTTTTCATGCATTTTCCTGGTCGGTTAAAAGATGACAAAATCGTATTTTTAATCATACCTCATTGGTACTCATCTTATCATTGGAAAAAGCATTTTTTACGAATAATTTGATACCACACACTTGGTAGTTCAGAGTTAAATTGTCGTTATGAACCGCATGTTACAATTTCAAATAAGCCATATGCGAAAATGTCAAAAGTTGACATATGGTATGTCATTCTAATCAGAGTGTATTTTTCTATTGAATAAAGTAAATAAATACCGATTAATTAAAAATCAAAAGTTGTAGTAATGTGTGAAAGGAAGTGTGAAAGAGAAACAGGAAGTGACCAAAAACAATTGAATACGTCAATCAATCCTAATTTATGTCACATACTAACATAACAAATCTCGTTTTTTTTATCTGAAAAAGATAAAAAGTGTCTCAAAAGTGGCTCACCCGATATAGAATAAAATACAAACTAGCAACTTATTTCTAACTATTCATTTTTATATTGCAGAAAACAGTGGTCACGTTAATGCTGAAACAAATTTACGGACGTTAACATGCGAAGTTGTCAACATCACCATATATACTACAGTAACATTTAATTTCAATTAGTAACTCCAAAAAATTAGTAAACTCAAAATAGATATAAAAAGCAATCATTAGCATTTAAAGACTTACTTGCTTATCATCTGTTTTATGAGTTCTTTCATTAGACCTCCTCCTCTCCTTGGAATCCTTTCTTTCGCGCGAGTCTTTCCCGTCTTTACTGTGTTTATCGTCGTCCTTTTCTTCCCCTTTCTTCGCACCATCTTCCTTCTCTGCACTGCCACTGTTTTTACCGTCCTTCTTCTCTGCGTCCGATTTAGATTTGGAACTTGAAGACTTGGCGTCCTTCATTTGCCTCATTTGATCGGCGCGTACCTGGTCAAACTAATTTTTTTTCGAATTAAACAAAAGTCTATAAAACTGTAAAGTTTTAGATCATTCGGCGGGTTTAGGCCCGGGCCCGAATACTGTAACTTAGAAAGCTGAGAAGCGTCTTTAACATTTCCCTTGTATAATAAGAATAATGATATATCCATAGAAAAATACGTTGACATAACTCAACAATAGGTTATAAAATTTACGTAACATTGACATTTTTCATTGTGTTATCCCTTTGAATAAAAAGATTAAGGAAGGAGCATATCAAAAATCTAAAGTCCACCGCGATGGGACTCAAATATGGCCGACTTAAATTCCGGTTTATCAGTGCCGTTCTAATTTTATTTAAAAAATGTAAAACTATGATGTAGGGTAGACGTGGGGTAGAGTCAATAATTTGTTTTTTTAATTTACGTTGTGAATAAATGTTGGTAGTTATTAAAATTGTTATAAAAATATAAAATTCTAATAAAAATAGCTAACCAAAAAAATCCTTATGGGTTTTTCGCCACTGCACTGCAAGAAAAATCTACAAAATAAAATAGTTATTTTTTGTAAACACTTCTGCGTTAAACCTAAACGGACGCTGCTTGTCAGAAGTTGTGTTTACAGTAATAAAAATTTGCCTAACAAAGAGAAAAAAATGCTTAACGTTTCGGAAAGTTTTCTCTTTCCGTCGTCGGAAGCAAAAAAATATAAAGAATCAAGAAAAAAAACTATTTAAAATATTTAAAATTGAACTATTCGAGAACACTTTACTTTTTAAAACAGATACGTCTACAAGAAATCGTTGACGTTCTGTTAAAATGACATTATATTAAGTTAAACTTCAAAATTAACAATTACTACCTGATAATTACTTAATAAGGTAAAACCAAAAAGCCCAAACTTTCTGTATGATTATTTTTAAATTTTACGTATGTAATGTTCTTTAAAATCAAAGAAGCGATTGCCATACATTACTAACATCTACAGATGCATGAGCAATACATTTATTTTTATTAGATTGAATTAAAAAAGCATCTTTTATTTTTCTTTTAGAGGCTATCGGTTCTTTCATTATAATTTTGGCGTTATTAAAATTTATTCTGTGCCCTGTGTCCCATGAATGCTGACAAATCTTAGATTTGTGAAAATCTCCCTTTTTTTTTGGATAGATGAATCCGTCACATAGGTATAGACATTTTTTAAAAATAGATAAGTTATAATAATTATTTATTAACACAAATATCCGATACGCTACTGAAGCAGAAAGCCAAGTCAAATTGACGTATTCTTTGACATCTAATCTTTGACAAGTAGTAAATAAAAGCAAAAATGCAAAATATATAATTAGTTAATTTAAGTGAATTTCATAAATGATCGGTTTACTTCACGTATGTAGCGAAAAGTTGTTCCATTATTTCACTCGATTTTTGCCGAGATCTACCGCACGCTACACAACCAACTATCTTAGTCTATTAGAGTCTTTTTCGATAAATCGCGATAGTGTCACTGTTAATTTAAGTTCTGCCACAATTTCCATCTCGATTTACTACCTTTATACAACTATCAGTAGTAGAATAAATAATAAATAACATAAAATAAGCTCAGTAAAGACTGACAAATCCACAAAATTTCCAATCAAATTCAAATGTGTCAAATGAATCGTCAAACAGAACTGTCAAGGATCCCCACCCTAGAGTGCTTTTTCCGCCCACCATGCATGAATACATGGATAGCATTATGCTCCTTCCTTAGTCTTCTTATTCAAAGCTTTGAAAGCATAACGTTTTTATTTCGACGTTCCAAAATTCGGGCCCAGATGTTTTCATAAAAGTACAAAATATTCCATAACAAAAAAGTTACCGCGATTTGTTAAAAATTCACATTTTTGAAAAACACCCCGTAACTCCGAAACGGTATAGTTTATCTGAAGTCAATTGGAATAGATTGGGACTCTAATTTCGGCACTGCCTTTGTCGGCATTGTCGATTAAGGACAAGGGAATTAAGAGTCTCAGTACTTCCAATTGACTTCGGAAATACTACAACATATATCGATGTGCGGTTTTTAAAAAGACATCTAAATAAAGGGAGACAAAACAATTTACATTTTATCGCGATCACGAACCGTGTTCCGCAAAAATCGATGATAACAGATTTACGCGGTATGTGATAGAATACGGTTCGAGTTCCAAATGTTATTATTGTTATTAATGTTTTTTGGGTACCTATAGAAACGTTAAACTAAATATTTGTATAGGTATATAACTTTAATTCATATACATAGATTGTGCCAGGATTATACCTTTGAAATTATTTTTAGTTTTCTAATTAAATTATATTAGGGAAATTACAATGACAACTAGCGACATCGCTGTGGATTCGTCTTTACTACGAAATCTGTAGGAATTACGCTGACATTTGACGCTTTCATTTGTTTCCATTCAACTTATATTTGACAGCGCGGTTGTAAGTTTTCTGCGGTACTTGAAAGTTTTTGTAGCTTTTGAACAACTTTTTAATAATTATTAGTGTTCATTGCGAAGAAAACTATTTAAAGTAGTTTTTAACTATCTACGATGGTTCGCAAGTGCATAGTTTGTAAAAAGGTGGACTATTCTAACCCAGAATTGATATTTCGACGGTAAGTGTTATTACGTTTTTTCTACCTCCATGCTTACAGTAGCGTATTTAGATACTTTTAGTTATAAGTAAATTATTACAAAAATTCGTATATTTTCTTATTTGTTGGCGCTTCCGATTGTGAAATTAAAGTTACCTTCAGTTAGACCTCAGGCAAAACTAGTTATAATGGAAAATTGGTCTGAGGCAATCGCAATCGATTTTTTATAAAATTCATCAATTATTGATAAAAAAAAACATCGCGCCACTGATAGAGCCAAATGACAGAAAGATAGACGAAACTCAACCGTGTTGTCATATTTATGTACCCATCTCTTTTTAACTCTCATAAAAGTGTCAAACCATGTATGATTCTAAAAAATTGAGTTTTATGAATGGAGTGTTCTGTCTACCCATTTAGATGTATTTGAGATTTTACCATCATGTTTTTGATAAAATTTTTGATGATAAAAGGTTTTTAATCAACGACACAAACCTTTTCAATTTTTATCATCTGCCCATTTAACTCGGTGTTGTTGAGTTTGCTGATAACGTTCTCCACGTCCTCCACAGATCCCATAGTGACGTATCCGAAACAGTTGGAGCCCGGATAGCGCGCGTTCACTACCACCTTGGCGCCGACCACTTTGCCGCAAGCCGACAAGGCGGACTTGAGTTCGCTGGCGCGCGTCGTTTTAGCCACGTTCGAGATCCAAACCACGTTGGGGTTCGATTTGCCGCTGACTTTCTTCTGAAGATTTTCTCCAGACTCTCTCCTAAATTAGAAATACCTGCTATTTCGCTTGCTTAGAAATAAAGTGTTAATACAGAGCTATCTAGTAGACAGTGTCCTAAAAAATCTCCATACAAAGTTTCCTACTTTTGAGACGTTTAATTCAAACTTAAAGTATTAGCCATAGGGCGTGCAAAAAAATATTTGTAACTAATAAGCTTCATTCAGAACCTCGAAATCAGTGGAATAAATTAGTAGTTTCAATTAGCCATAGGATTCGGCAATAGAATTAGCAAGAACAGCGAAAGTCTTAGTAATATTATGGTTCCCTTTTTTACCCTTTTGGTATGGAACCCTAAAAATGGAATGGAAATTTCAAATAAGAAACTTGATATGGAGCTTCTTCAGAACACTGGGCCACCCTGTATATCTAAGAAATACTCAATTCTGTTTTACTCTGTATAAATAATAATTATGCAGGGCGAGTCTTAAATAAGTGCAAATATTTTTAGGGACATTATTTTTCGACTCCAGAAACATCTATATGAGGTTTCTTTTCCCCAAAAAAAATTTTGGTAATCTTTTTAATTTGTAGTTAAAAAACATAATACCTTCACAATATGGCAACATAGGTAGCAGATTAAAATTACAAGGGAGAGAACCCAGAAAAAATCCAGTGGTTCTCGAAATTTAAGCAAAAAATCATTTTTTTTTATTTTCAAAAGTAAAATATCCATTATTTTAGATTTATTTGAAAACCGGTGAAGAGAAAATACGTTTCTTTTATTCGAGATCTACCAGCCCTGAAAATATTTGCACTTATTTAAGACCCACCCTGTATAAGAAACACAGTTTTGATAGTTACTATTTGTTTGAATAAATAGTGTCAATGAGACTAGAAGATGTTATTAACAGTATTAAAAATAAGATGTTGACAGTTTTTGTTATAGCTAAAATTTGAAGTATTTGAGTAAATAGATTTAAATTTCATACTTTCGACAATCAGATGATATTTCTGTGTGAGCTAATTCTATTTATAAAAAGAATGAACTAACGCCATTCAAAATAAGCTAAATTATTACAAAACCTTTCTTTTCCTTCATGTTTGATTCACAAAATCACAGAAACTCCTCTTACCATAAACAATACTCTCTCCAATATTTTTTTACTCAACATAATGCTGCCATTTGTTAATATACTCACTAATTTTACTCATTTAATCTATAATTATCTAAAACTCCAGTCGACAGCTGATCCAATTGAAGAGATTGAATTCATGATCCCGGAACGGCTCCAAATCCAAGTCTCTGATGACGTAGATCTAAGTTCCAGGATGCTTGTAGGGCTGGATGTCAATGCTGTGCAGATGTATGAATCCAGAAAACCGATGTTTGACCTGCCTGTTGCCTCCTAATGCTTCTTGTGAAGTTTGTGTTTAATAAAGTCCACTTTGTACCAACGTCATAGTTCAAGGTTTTACGAGGGTAGTCTGAAAAGTTTCCGACTTCACAATGATACAAAACATTGTTTTATTTTTCCACAAGATCTTTTCGCTAAGACGCTTTTCCAAACCATGCTTCTACCTAATCCATCTATCCTTCTAAATGGTTGGTCTTGACAGCAAAACAGTTGTGAAAATATTTGTTCTATGGCCATGCGCATGACCTCTGTTATTTCTTTCGTTGTTTAACACTATATTGTGACCATGACCAATTCATCAGTGATTTCAGTGTTTGGACGTCCCAAACGTACTTCAAAAATTTCACAGTGGTAATTGATGGTGCAGTGTCCCCGTGTAACTCGTCTTTGATTTGTATATGCGATTTTCTTTTCATTGCTGTCCATTTTCACAATAGCCCTTAAATTGATTCACTCAACCGACTGTCGAAAGAACAACTAGATGTGCGCAGATTAGTTCCATGAATGTTCCTGTATACATTGGTGAAGTTAGAAACTTTCCGGCCTTCCCTCGTAACTTTAGCGACAATATCCAACTCATCAAGTTTCTGCTTTTCTGAGCATTTTTCAAATCAATTTTAGTCAAGTATCCAATTGATGTTTTAAACACATCTTAGGCAGCATTATGGAGTTATATAAAGTTGAAAAAAGTGTGAAACCAACCTAGAATCATCTTCTGCTCTCTCCTCTTCCCGACGAGAACCTTCATCCTTCGAACTCGCTCGATCTTCCTTCTTACTTTTATCTGCAGAAATCAAAATCGACGTCATATATATAGATGATTTCGTACAAGAATTTTTTTTAAATTAACAAACCACGTTTTGCACTGTAGCTTCAACATTATTACAATATATAAAAAATCATAAAGAAATTAATATTTTCAAATATTATAGAATACATTTGTGACAACTAATTGCATATTTCAGTTCCAATTTTTTTCTGATATCTTTTAGATATCTAATTCGAGATTCACTTCACCTACAATTCCCAAGTGGAAAATACCAAGTAATAAAGTGCTTTGTCGATAATTTGATGATCCCAAACTTCAGTAATTCTTCCTCCACAAAACTCCATCATGTAAATACACTACAGCATAAAGATGATCCATCTTCATCTAGCCACCTACATTTGAATGCTTCCTCCATTTTAATTTGTTAATCCAAGAGGAATCTGAACCAGTATCATAGTCTTCTATCCATAAGAAACTTGTATTTGTTGTATAACATATGTTATAAAGGATGAATAGTTCGATAATATGCAATTAGTGTCAATTTCAGAAATAAAAATATCATAATAATTTTACAATATTATAAGGTATGATGATATTATTTCAACTAAAAAACTTACCATTTGTTGTATCTTCATCTCGAGCTTTTTCAGTAGACTCGCTCTGTAAATAAAAAAAAACTTAGAAATTCTAAAATAATTGATAAAATCTCACATACCTCGACATCATGTAATGTCTCATCATCATCTAAAGTAAGCCTAATAGGAGATTCATGCCCATCATCTTCTTCTGTCAAAACTGGCGGAGGCGGAACTTTAGGTTTGTCAATGTTTTCTTCGGATTCCTAAATAAAAATGTAAAATATATGCAACTATAATAAATTTTTCTCTATAGTAAACATCCATTTTTCACATAAATGTGTATACAAATAACAATAACAAAATAATTTATTGAACTTATTTCATTAAAAAATCCCTAATCAACCGAAAAATTACAAGACATGGCAACGTTGCAAATTTACAGCTTTAGAATTCATGTCAAACCTCCATCTTGTCTTAATTTTTCTTGTTTATTTTGTTAATGTTTTCAGTAAAGTTTTAGATAGTTTTGTATCTTTAAACAACAGTGGCTTTTAGATCTATTATATAATGAAAATGTAATGAAATTGTTATGCTATGCAGCTTAAACTAAGAAAAATTCAATGTTTACATATACAAGCCCTAACAATTAAATATTGGGATAAACAATAATTTATTGAAAACTTTACACAAACTGAATTTGAGAACTTAATAAACATATTAAAATATATAATTTATAATGAGTATTTAGATAGTTTAGTTTCTATAAACATTAAAATAAACTGTGGGCCAATAAATATCTAATAAAAATTGTCAATACCTTGTTTTCCTTAGATTCAGGCTCTACGTCATTTGTCTTAGTGTCATCTTTTTGAGAAACATTTTCTGTATCTTTCAATTCAGCATCGTTATTTTTAATTTGCCCATTTTCTTTTCCATTCAAGGTTTTTGTATTTTCTTCCGTAGGTTTTGTTTTATCATCAATAGACTCATCTAATTTTTCTTCAGATTCAGCATCCTCTGTACAAGTTACATAGTAAAATTAAATAAAGATTTTAAAAAATAATAAACTACTTACGAACTGAATTTCTCTTTTTGTTGTCCGTTGACTCAAATATGTAAGTTTCAGGATCATGTCCTTCTTTTTCCAATGCCTAAAAATTTAAAGTGATTTCTAAGTTTATATAAGACTGCCATTATTATTATTATTATAAAATATAGCAACTACTATTATTGGCAGTGGGCATATGAGGATCGCTGTCATTTTATATGTAAAATTATATGGAGAATGTCATCATCATTTCCAAGCCACCTGGAGGCCTTTTTTCGATCATACGATATTAAACAAAATAAATTTTACAATAAATTCTACTTTGAACGTGCATAACCTAGTATTCTATGAATACAAACAAATCTAACCAACATACTATTAATCACATATGAATTTTTCCCTTTTATAAAAACGTATAGAAATGGAAAACTAAAAGAGCCGCACATTTTTACACCAAATATATTCTTATTTAATATAAATCTACTATACCTCTTTCAATCTTTGAAGTATAACCTGTTTTACGCCATTTTTGTCCAGGCCTCTTTTTTCCAACTCTGACTTTAAATCTATTACTCTTAAGTCCGCCAATTTCTTGTTCTCGTTTTCAGACATTGCGATATGTAACAAATTCTAGAATGCAGCAAGACTCTTTAAAGCTATTTTTTTAAAACACAAGCACCATAAAGTGACAAGCACTTCCTCGATTACCTTACGAAAATAGAAAATGGCGTCGAATTTAAATTTTTGATTTAAATCCATTTTAAATCCATAGAAAATAGAAAATAAATCTAATTGGAATCCATAGATAACTGGTGGAGTCTTACTAGGGATATCAATAACATATCGATTTTTTAAAAACATCGATATAGTTGGAAATTGCAATATGATCCAAAAAAGCAACGCATGTAAAATCTATACTAATAGCCGTGCTAATATCCTAATATATGTTAGATTTTATCTTTCACTTTTATTATTTTAAAAAAACATTAAAATACTTAAAACACTTTATTAAGTTTTAAAATTTAACAAAGTAAAATAAATGAATTATATGAACTTCGATACGACACGGATACGAGTTGCGTTCGAGAGTTGTGCGTTGTGCGTTCGAGTTGTTGTTCCTGGGAAAGAGATCGGCTTAAATAATCTTAAAGTTGCTGAGTCTTCGCTTCCCATCATGGAACTGCGACTTGTTTACTGAAGAGACCATGGGAACATCGTAGTTGGAAAGATTCTCAGGAAACATAATATGATTGTTTATGAGTTATATTAGAACGAACTTATACGTTTAACTTTGAAATAAACAATGAATAACAATAAATAAGTATAAAGAGTAAATAAGGTCATTTGAAGGTTAAATATGGATATAACATATATAAAATCCTTGTGACTGACATACTGATTAATCACGATCCTGCTCAAACCACTCAACGTAAGAAGCTCAATTTTGGCATACAGATTGATTCTAGGGTGATTCTAGGGTGTAGAGGTTCGATAAGAAGGGATTTTTCGAAATTCCAGTTCCAAGAGGGTGAAACCAGCCCTCAAATATTACAATATTTTTTATTTAAAAAACGGCCAAGTTTCCGAAAAAACGCTTAAATACGTATATTTTATTTTGTTTTTTTACATATTTTAAGATTTTTTAAAAATGTATACAGGATGTTTCGAAAAATCTGGTCATTGATTAATCACGATCCTGCTTAAAGTGCTTGACGTAAAAATTGACGCTGATTTTTGGAAAACAGATTGACTTTAGGGTGTAGAGTGGTGAAGAGGTTCGATAAGAAGCTCGATAAAAAGGGATTTTTCGAAACTCGAATTCTAAGGGGATGAAACTAACCCTCAAATATTAAAATATTTTTTTTTAAAACCGGTGAGTTTTTCGGAAAATTAGACGTACCTATATTTTATTTTGTTGTTTTACATATTTTAAGATTTTTTATAAATTTATACAGGGTGTTTCATAAAATATGACCATTGAGTAATCACGATTCTGCTTAAACTGCTTGTCGTTTAAAGCTGATTTTTGGCAAACGGATTGACTGTGGGGTGTAGAGGTTCGATAAGGAGGGGTTTCTCGAATCTCAAATTCCAAGAGGGTGAAAACGCCCCTCAAATATTACAATATTTGTTATTTAAAAAACGGTTAGACTTTCGGGAAAACGCTTGGATAAGCATAATTTATTTGTTTTTTTTTACATATTTTGAAATTTAAAAAAAAAATCATACAGGGTGTTCCAAAAAGTTGGGTAATTTCTTAACCACGATTCTGCTTAAACTGCTTGACGTAAAAAGCTTATTTTTGGCAAATGGATTTTTAGAAAGTCAAATTCCAACGAGATGAAACTACCCCTTAAATTTTATCCAGTTTGTATGTTAATGGAAATTCTTGCTTTGCTTTATCATCATTACAAATGATTAATTCGACGCGAACGAAGTCGCTGATGGTACACGCTAGTATAATTATATAACGCATATTATTCATGTTCTATTAAGGTGCGTATTCATTATCCGAACGAACGAACGAACGAACGAATGAAAGTGCGGTATATTTAGACGGGGACCGAACGCATGCGGCCGTTCGTTCGTTCGTTCGCTCGACCATCCGTTTCGAGTCGGTACATCAAAGGCGTTCGCCAACAAATGCCTCCGGTCTTCTCGTGCAGTCCTATCGTGCGGTCCCCGTCCATACCACTAGCGTACATTCGTTCGTTCGTTCGTTCGTTCGTGCGGATAATGAATACGCACCTTTAAGTATCTACTGCTATGATCTACTGTTTGATTTTGTTCTGACATAGTTTTGACCAAAGACATCTAAATAAAGGATGTCTTTTTAATAAAGGATATCCATTTAGATGTCTTTTGTTTTGACCAATAAATATTTTGAAAGGGGCTATCAAGGTTTAATCAAAGACATCTAGGTTCTAATATTATAAAGATTTACTACAACATCATATCAATATTTTTGTATGAAAATTGACGTCTTTAAGAAATTTTTAGGAAAGATTGATACATAGAAACATTGAATTTACGTCCCTGAACTTTTCATTGTTCATTAATATGTTATATTAATCTAAAAAATCACTTCTAATAATGTTTCTCTTGACTCTTGACCAAGCTCCTGACATAATATAATCACGGCATATATACCAGCGAATATCATCACGGCATATATCACGGCATATATACCAGCAGTATAACAGCGAGCAATAAGTGGGACTCATATATCAAAAGTGATAAAATGCCATAATATATCGACATTTTAAAAATCTTGCCATTCCTACTCCTGAATCTTCTTCTGTGGTCCGTTAATTTTCGTATCTGTCCTCTGTCACATCTCTGTCATTCATTGAAGTTTGGCGGTGGAGTTTCAAATTTAAATCATATTTTTTTACATAAAGATTTCCGTTTATTATGTGTTTTCGATAGCAGTCGAGATGTTATTTATAAAACCTGTTGAATTTATGAGGTGGAATTACTGAAAATATAAAAATGTTATTATCTCCCAATCGATATAACTTTTTTTAAATATTATTGATAATGATTCAAAAAAATCTCGACAATACATATCTAAATAAAGGCTATTTAATTTACTTGTCTGCTACATAAGTGCGGTAAAATATAGATTGTATCAAAAAAGAATTATAAAATTTAAAATTAGATGTGATAAAACGACAGGTATTTAATGCAAAATTTTAGCTGTTGTTCTTAAACCATTCGGCATTCGTAAAGCAGAAAAGCAACAATGAAGACAGAGTTTTTTTGCATTATTTTGGCGCTTATTTTCCAAGTTTCGCAGGCTAGATATTATGTAAGAAATTTAGGAAATGGCACAGACGATGAAGAATTGGTTTTAGTTCATACGGTAAGATGAATATATTTTTTAAATTTAAGAATATAATAGTAGTTATAAATATCTAATATAAGTTTTAGTTACCATACTCCTCCGAAACGACTTAGCCGATTTTGGTGAAACTTTATATGTACAGGGTGGGTCAAATTCGACGCTTATAATGGAAACACCCTTTTCTATAGGAGATAGACAAAAACTAATATCGGTGCCTGGAGCTCAATTTTTGTCAAAAACATGATGGTGAAAACAGCATATCGATATCTGTTATCGTTTCGGAGTTACGGAGTGTTTTTCAAAAATATGCATTTTTAACAAATCGCTGTAACTTTTCTGCTATGGAAAATTTTGTATTTTTATGAAAACATTTCTAAAGCACCTTTTTACGTAGAATTTAATGGTTTATGTATAATTTTTTTATTAATATTAACAATTTAAGAATTATCAACAGAAAATTTGATTTTTTATATGGGACACCCTGTATATTTTTAATTTATTGGAACGAATTTAAAATTACCTTTCCAAAAATATAACATATTAGATATTTTGCTCAATTCCTCTTCGAGATATAGAGTATATAAAAATTCGCCCGCTTTAAATAAGTAGGCTTTGAACGGCACCGGCACCGGCTGTAATGCAAAAAAATTCTAGCTGTGAGCATCAATTAAAACGAAAATAATATTTGCTATGAGAGATGCAGAATTTTAGAACAATTTAAAATATATTTAACACATTTAAACGATATCTAATAACAATAAAAATAAATAGCAAACCAAGACATGAGATTTAGCTACAGGTGTTCGACATATCGACCGTCTTATGGTATGGACAGACGGAGCATTTTTTGAACATTTCTCGCGGAATTCATTAACTCAGTGGAAGTGAAAGATACCCTCTCATAACTGCTAAGTATTTCTAATTCTTGTCTAGATTATACGGAAGAATAAGGAACCTTTATTCTTCCGCAAATATATTAGGATTAGATCCATGGGCACTAAGTCAGGCGGCCGCGACGGCTTTGTTAGCTACCTATTCAATTATTCTTGAAATTGGAGAGGCGGTGCGTCGACTTGCTGGAAAAATATGTTTTCGAGTTCCATTAAGGACATATCATCAATAAGGGCTCCAAAGCCTACTAGTTAAAAGTGGCGAACTATTAAAAATTCTGTATTTCGAGGGGGATTATAACAAAATATCAAGTGTGCTATATTTTTGGAAAGGTAATTTTAAATTCTTTTCACCTAATTAAAAATATAGAGGGTGTCCAAAATAAAAAATCAATTTTTCTGTTGATAACTCTTAAATTATTAATTTTAAAAAAATTATACTTAAACCATTAAATTCTACCTAAAAAGGTGCTTTGAAAATGTTTTCATAGAAATACAAAATTTTCCATGGCAAAAAAGTTACAGCGATTTGTTAAAAATGCACATTTCTGAAAAACACCCCGTAACTCCGAAACGGTAACAGATATTGATGTGCGGTTTTCACCATCATATTTTTGATGAAAATTGAGCTCCAGACACCGATATTAGTTTTGGTCTATCCCCTATTGAAAAGGGTGTTTCCATTTAAAAGCGTCGAATTTGACCCACCCTGTACATAGGTATATATTCAGTAGGTCTGAGAAAAAGTTATCTATTTTTTATACCCTTAAGTGATAAGGGTGGCCTACCACCGTTTTTTTTGTTTTTTAAACAAAATTTTCATTTTTATTTTTTTATGATTACAACCCTAAATTTTCACCCTTCTACCATCAACCCCTATTTTTTAATAGCGATATTAATAATAATTTTCAACGCCGTGAATAAAAATTACAATAAAAAATATTTATACCGCAAAACAACGTTTTTCGGGTCGGCTATATCCTTCTATATCAAAGAATATTTTTTTACGCGATCATTCAAATCCATAGATACAAAAATGAAGATCGATGTCATGACAATCCCCATATAATTTTACATATAAAATGATAGCGATCTTCATTTCGCAGCCATCGCTGACGCAGTTTTCTTTTCGATCACACGATATATTATACAGGGTGTCCTAGAAATAAGTATTTTAAGGGGTGGTAGATTTCGATAAAAGAAACATATTTTCTCTTTATCGTTTTTCAAATAAGTCCAAAATAACGGAGTTAATATACTTTGAACATTTCAAAAAAAAAATGATTTTTTGCTAAAATTTTGAGAACCAATCGGGGGTGGATTTTCTTTCTTGTAAATTTAATCTAATACTTATGTTGCCATATTATCAAGAAATTATGTTTTTTAACTAAAAACTAAAAAAAATACAAAAAAATTGATTTCAATATTAAAATATGTTGAGTAAAATGTTACTAATCTGCATTATTATAATCATTGTTTGACTGATTAACTGGACCAGAAATTATTGTCGATAAGTGAAAAAAATTTTACCGCTTATTTTTTTGGCACTGCTAATATATTTAAAGTAGGTAATCAAATTTTGATAAATTTTATTTTTTACATTAATTACTGAACTATAATATCAATCGGATGTTCTTATCTTAACATTTTATCTTTTTTACCAATCAGTTGACTGAGGTTGTAAATTGTAAACATCTAATATACACCTATTCCAATTAAAGCATATTTTTAAAATAATCTCAAGTATTACATTTCATATTTTCTAATCTGGATATTCAATTTATGTTATTTTTTTTATTTAACTATATTTCTTTTTATTCTAGTTTGGATAATCATAGAATTTGAATGTGTGACAATTTTATTTATGCATATTTTGCTCTATTTATTACTATAAATAAGTATATATACAGGGTGGCGCACCTCATTCGCCTCGGTTGATTATACGAAAACGGAAAGATGTAGAAACAAAATATTTTATGGCTATTTTATGTGGGGAGGCAATGTGCACAATTTAAAATTATTTTCAAATATACAGGGTGTTTCAGAACTAGAATACATATCAAAGTTATATTTTTTCTTATGGAACACCCGGTATTTTATCTCATTTTTGGATTCCTGGGCGCAAAAAAAAAGCATTTATTATAAGGGTTATATATGTTTAAAATCTTTGGTTTTTGAGATATGTAAAGAAATTTAAATTTGCATGCTACAATAGAATAGATTATTAACACCCTGTACATCCTCCCTGTACATGTCTATCAAGAAAAACGAAGAAGTAGTTCTTTGATTTATTTTACGATGACTTATAGGATGTAAATATGGATTTACTATAAAAGAACCAATTGTGGCAAATTCATTTTCATCGCTTTCAACGGCAGGTTTCTGCTGTTGAAAGTGATGGAAATGTCAAGTAGTTTTTCAAACGAACCTATCAGAAAGATTTTCCTATTTGGATATCTTTGAGCGTAAGCTCTTGAGGCCAAGAAGCAATTTTCCTCACAAAATAAAATCACTAGTAACATATCCATTCGTTCCGCCAGCAGATACTGCTTTATTTTTCTTGATAAAATAATGAATACTTACTTATTAAACTATTGCAGATAAATCTAAGTCAACTGTTATAGATTATAAATAATATCATCCATAAACTAATGTCGACTTTGAAAATAGTTACTAACTAACAGTAGTCAATTGCCATGGCGACACCAGCCATCTTGATTGCCATTTTATTGAAAAATCGCTTTTTATTCAAAATCTGAGCTAGATAGGTATAGGAAACCCTAATATAGTTTGAAAGAGCATTTGAATCTGCTTCGGTTTATTTTAAAAAATACAGGGTGTTGTATTTGAAATAACGTATATAAATAAGTTTTTATATAAAATAAATCCTTAAAATAAATCAGCAATTTTTAATACCCCTGTATAAATTTAAGGAGGCAATACCATTTTTCAATAAAGTTTATTTCTTTATCTTTAAATTCAGCACAAATATTAATTCTGAAAAGTAATGTACAGGGTGTTAATAATCTATTCTATTGTAGCACGCAAATTTAAATTTGTTTAAATATCTCAAAAACCAAAGATTTTAAACATATGTAACCCTTGTAATAAATGCCTTTTTTTGGGCCCTAGAATCCAAAAATGAAATAAAATACCGGGTGTTCTATAAGAAAAATATAACTTTGGTATGAATCTTAGTTCTGAAACACCCTGTACATTTCAAAATAATTTTAAATTGTGCACATTGTCTCCACACATATACCCATAAAATATTTTGTTTCTACATCTTTTCGTTTTCGTATAATCAACCTAGGCGAATGAGGTGCCCCACCCTGTATATTGTATTTATTAACTGTATATTTCATGAAAACTATATATTTTTTAAAATACAAACAAAAAATCTGAGCAATAATTATATGTTTTCCATGTATTCTGCAACATATTGATTAATCCGTAATATCTAACTAGCGTGACGTCATACACCTAGGCTGTTCTATTAGAGAGAGCATTGGATGAGCCTTGTTACTATAGCTAATTACTAATAAGTTACTTTTACCAAGAAACTGAAATATTTCCTTGTAGTCCCAACATTTATTTTTTAATCATTCATATCCCTGATATCGCAGCGAAATTGCCAGTGTACGTCGCATACTATTATTCTTATATTTTCACCGCCAATCTGCCGCGATAAAGCGAGAAGCGGAAAGCCGGTTCACTATGGACGTACACGAAAACAGTATATACATAACAAATTATACAGGGTGAGTCTTAAATAATTGCAAATATTTTCAGGGGTGATATATTTCGACCCCATTAACACGTCTATGAGGTTTTTTCGCAAAAAAGATGTTGAAAATCATGCATTTTCTTTTAAATTTTCCTGTATATTTTTCGAAAACTTTTTAGAACTGCCTGTTCACCGCAAATTTTCCCACGGTATAATTTCTTAATCTCTGATATTACCAATTACCATAGTTACAGCTTTACTCTATGGTTACGGCACTAAAAGGGATGCAAATAGATAAAGAAAAAAGCCTGTGGCTCTGAAATTTTTTCCAAAAAAAATCATTTTTTTTTAATTTTCTTAACTTAAACTTAAATAACTCGGTTATTTTGGACGTATGTATTTGAAAAATGGTAAAGAGAAAATATGTTTCTTTTATCGAGATATACCAGTCCTGAAAATATTTGCACTTATTTAAGACTCACCCTGTATATCTATTGTGTTGATACCTGGTTGATACTATGGATCCATTTGATGTTTATCCTTTATTTTAGATCTTTAGACATGGAAACAGAACACCCGAAAGCAATATTTACGATAGTAATCCTTACGGAGATGAAAGTTATTATGCACCATATGGATATGCCCAACTCACAAATGTAAGCTTTAATTTATTGTTTCAATACTACATAGGGGCGACATACAGGGGTTTTTCGAAAAATCCAAAATAAAAAACTATTTTTCTTTTTTTCTTCTTCCTTCCTTTTTACTACATACTTTTTTTGAATACATACGAAAATACATCAATTCGACTACACAAAAACGTGGACTTTGTTATAAATAAGTTGTAATATTCTTATTATCGAGAACGCGTGTCATATCTCAAATAATATAGTTTAAAACATTTGTTCAAAATATAATTACTCACGAAAAACAAACAATTCAAGATTCTAAATTTGTTATGTATACATTATTATTACCTATAGTTTTTAGATTTTTAATAATTTGTTGTAGCAAAATAAAAACACTAAATCACCACTATACACCAAAACACTTTTACTTTTACACTGGACGCGCGTTTCGCTAACCATGTTAGCATCATCAGCAGATGATTATAAACTAAAGTACAATCTACAAGTTGAGCGTTTGTATACTCGCCCAGTGGGCACCGAGTGGGCGTGGCAAAATCTAGCCAACCGAGTCAGAGCCCACTGAGCGTAACAGTTAGATATCCGCCACTAGAGTAGTAGGAACAAAGAACTTGAAGGAATTGGACCGTTGTCTCTGTTCATACTATCTTTACATTTATTAATTCTGATGCTTTCATATGCATCTAATTGCCTGTAATTTGAGACTTGTTTAATTAATTTTAAATTATTAAGATCTATACAATGTTCTTTATCACCAATATGTTCGGCAACGCAAGATTTATCAGGTCTACCATATCTTATCTGAGCTAAAGTTCTTTAAATCTAGTTAATATTGATCTCCTAGTTTGCCCAACATATTTCTCATAACAATCTTTACAAGAAATTTCATAAATACTCGACCTTTCCAGTGGAGGTGTTTTATCCTTTGGATTACCTAATAATTGTTGTAATTTATTATTAGCACTATACACAAGTTTATAATTGACATTCTTAAAAATTCCTTTTAGACCACGGGATAACTCTCTATCAAACAGTATCGAAAAATATTTAGACGTATCTTTCTCCACTTGAAAAGTCGAATTTTCAGAAATCATTAACCTATACCTACGTTTTCTAATTAATTTATCAACTAGTGAAGGAGAATATCCATTACACTCAGCTACATTCCTAATGTAATCTCTTTCTTTTTCATATCTTTCGTTGGTAAGTGGAAAACTAAGTAACCTATGAACTATGAAATTTAAACTAGCCATTTTATGTTCAACACTATGATATGATTCATTAGGAATATATCTGCGTGTAGCGGTATATTTCCTATAGATAGCAAATTCCAGTCAATTATTAGTATTTCTAATAACTAATACATCTAGAAATGGTAATCTGTTGTACTCAATTTCATGTGTAAATTTAATGGAAGGAAAACTATTATTTAACTTAGAAATAAAATTATCTATGGTGTCTGAATGTGTGTCAAAAACAGCAAAAATATCATGCACATACCTAAACCATACTCTTGGAAAATACTCAAACTGATTCTTAGTCTCCACTTCAAACCTGCTCATGAATAAATTAGCCAAAAATGGAGACAATGGATTACCCATTGCTGTACCTTCCCGCTGTTCAAAAAAGTGTCTTGCGTTGCCGAACATATTGTTGATAAAGAACATTGTATAGATCTTAATAATTTAATGAACAGAGACAACGGTCCAATTCCTTCAAGTTCTTTGTTCCTACTACTCTAGTGGCGGATATCTAACTGTTACGCTCAGTGGGCTCTGACTCGGTTGGCTAGATTTTGCCACGCCCACTCGGTGCCCACTGGGCGAGTATACAAACGCTCAACTTGTAGATTGTACTTTAGTTTATAATCATCTGCTGATGATGCTAACATGGTTAGTGAAACGCGCGTCCAGTGTAAAAGTAAAAGTGTTTTGGTGTATTGTGGTGATTTAGTGTTTTTATTTTGCTGTGTAACACCAAAGGTTCCAACCCTTAACTGTAATAATTTGTTGTATGTAGTGAACTTTGTATAAACATTATTACAATGGTGATGTATTCCGCTTTCAAGTGTAAAAAAAAACAACGCTTTATTGTACAAAAAGCCAAAACAGCTTCATCGACAAAGCAAAACAAAAAAAGCACAAAAACAAATATACAAATAATACAAAAAATGTCATACAATACAAATCAATTCAAAAAAAAAATTACGTCATAAAATAACAAATAAAACATATATGGACATTGCAGAACACAGGCGTATCTAGAAAATTTTACAAAAGGAAAACTGTAAATGGATAAAATCATGTTATAATAACATAAAATCAAGAGTTATAAAATATTAAATACTAGACCTTTAACCAGTGTGTGAGATGATCAAAATATTAAAATTAAAATTCTAAATTGTTCATGATTTAACATCAACAAAAAAGTCGTAAAAAAGTCGTACTGTAATAGCCGCAACGATAAGAAAGAGCCAGGAGGAGTTGCGTTTTCATAAGTAAATAAAGAGTCCATTCCACTTTTTTAGCGTTTTCTTATTGAATTTGGTAAATTTTTTTCTGATACTATATATACTTGATATGTGCTATACGTCGATACTAGTTTTGTACCTTTTGTTAACATTTTAATACGTTTTTTTCTTAATTAATTAGTATGATAATATAAAAATATCCTTTCAAGCAGCTAAGTAAGAGCTAAGTTAAGAAAAATATATGGCCACGGCACTGTTTGGAGCCATGGTAACAATTTGGTCTCGGGTGTTATATGTCCTTGTATTCTTTAGTCATTGGTATATAGGTATATTTTTAAAAATGTATTATGTATTATGTATTGGTATATTTTTAATAATGTATACTCTAGCCTGAACAAACATCATTCTACAGCTACAATTTTCTGTGATTTCTCTAAGACTTTCGACTGTGTAAATCATAATATCTTAATTAACAAATTGCAATACTATGGATTCAGGGAAGTGCCGCTCGAATGGCTTAAGTCATATCTTGGCAACAGAAGGCAGCTTGTGAGGATTGATACGTCTATGTCTTATTGTAAGCCTATAGAATGTGATGTCCCTCAGGGTTGAGTACTTGGCCCTATTTTGTTTCTGGTGTTTATCAACGACATTGCTAATCTAGACATTAGCGGTAAAATCTGCCTCTTTGCGGACGATACTAGTTTCACTTGGAGCGGCTCGGATGTTACGGCACTATATAATACTATATCCAGTGACTTACACCATTAAATCTTGGTGCGATTCTAATCTCCTATGCCTCAACCTATCAAAAACTAAAGTTTGTCATATAAAAGTACTATACAACCTTCTGTACTTAATAACACCACTATTAACGTCGTGGACTCTGTGAAATTCTAGGACTTGTAAACAACTCGTTAAAATGGGGTTTGGTCATCTTATCTACCTCTAGAATAGCCTATTATGCCCTTTTTGAGTCACATCTTCGTTATGCCCTTCCATTTTGGGGTACTTGCTGCACAACAAAGTTTGATCGTATTTTCAAACTTCAAAAGAGAGCAGTTCGATACTTATTGGGACTAAACAGTAGAACTCACTGCCAGAATTTCTTTGAAAATTTCAAAATACTGACTCTTCCTTCTTTATTCATTTTTGAATCCGTTTGCTTAATCCGCAAGCACATATCTGCTATTCCCGAAAGGCCATCTCACAACTATCCACTTAGGAATGCGGAGTACGATCTTTATCTGCCAATCCCGAACCTGTGCCCGAACTCAGAACTAGTTAAAGGCTCAATACTGTACAATGCCAAAAAAATGTACAATCATCTGCCTTTGAATATCAAAGTCGCTTTCATTCTTTTCTGCATTTCGCAAAGCTCTGAAATCATACTTACTGGAGAGAGCCCTATATGCCGTAAACGACTTTTTTGTTGATGTTTAATCATGAACAATTTTGAATTTTAAAATTTTGATCATGTCACACACTGGTCAAAGGTCCAGTATTTAATATTTTATAACTCTTACAGTTATAATATCCATTTACAATTTTCCTATTGTAAAATTTTATTGGTACACTTTTTTTGGGTTCTGCAATAATTGTCCATGTACCATGTATGTTCTATAATAGGATAGTTATTTTCTTACCCAAGCAGCATTTGGACGTCGGGACAACGTTGTGTCACGCGACCAAACGTCGGGGCGCGACGTTGGCACAACCTCGTGCCAACCCTAGTCTGCACTAGTTTGGAGAATAATTTTTGGGTCGAAACGACGTTGGATACCGACGTTGGCTAGCAGCCTAATTTAGTACAAACTGCAACTTTGTTTAAAATCCTAATTCACAGAAATACAAAACTAATATGGCGTCTAAGTCGCGTTTTATCCTAAATTGGGATAATTATAGTAAAAATATTATTTTTATGATTTAGTTAGAGACATATGTCAGATGGCAGTGAAGGAAAACAAAACAAAAGTATTTAAGTGTGGAGGATGTTTGAAGATCATAATTATTGAAACACTTTAACCGACTCTGTAACTCGTTACCCAAGGCAAAAAAGTTAAACGCAAACAACTTTATTGATAAATGTATTGTTCCTACTTTGAAAAATACCAATGGGCCTTAAAATTAAAGAAGTTTTAAAATTTTTCTTGAATTTTTTTTTAGTAAAATGAGAATAATTTATTCGCAGTCGAAAAAATTGTTTCCGCGTGTTTTTTAGGGTCAAATATTTCAAGTTAACGTATTCAAAAAGCAGGAATTGATATTTTAGGAACGAAACATTTTCTTATTTAACAACATGGCGGCTTTCACTTTGTTGTTTTGGAGATTAAGATGGAGTAGTTCGAGTAGTCGCATACTGGACTAATAAAGTCGCAGTTCGGCCTTAACAGGTAGTATACTAGTCGCAAGATTGCCTAATTTAGTCATCCTAGAGTCTAGCTTGTGCCGCCCTCTATAATCTAAATAAACGAGGGAGTGGATAAACTATCGGTAATATATGTCGATGTATATTTAAATTTAGTTTTATATGTACCTTTCTTATGTCCCATTTTAATAAGTTTTTTTATAAAAACAAAAACAGTTGCAAAAGGTAGTGACTCGACGTCCCTACCAACGTAAGAATAAGGAAATCTAAACAACGTTGGAATTAGTAAAACAGACGACGTTTGCATAACGTTGGAATAGGTCCTGAAACTGACGTCGGAAAACTCTATATTGTCCAACGTTGTAACTACGTTGTCCGAATCACCTAAAGATCACTTAAGCAAAAATGGTTACAAGACAACGTTTATTCGACGTCGCAGAAGCTTCTACTTTGCTGTAGTACTAGTCCAACGTCGGCACAACATTATAAAAACGTTTAAATTTATTTTAATATCTAAGGTAGGGAGCTAACTATTTTTTGTAACTAATCCAACGTTGTATTTAGTAAACATGTGGTCGCAAGTCGTGAAAATGCTACTTGGGTAGAGTTATTTTATTATTCAAGATGAAAGAGAACGAAAAAAAAGTCAGTTCAACAATGAATAAAATTTAATTTTTTATATTGTATTTTTTTTAGGAAGGCAAAAGAACCGAATTTAAAATAGGACAAGCTTTGAAAACTAGATACGAGTCGTTTTTGGGAGACGAGTATAACATCAACTTGATAGAAGCTAGATCAACGAACGTTAATAGAACCAAAATGTCTATGTTACTCGTGTTGACAGGTTTGTTCCCCCCCAGCGGCGATTTGACATGGATGGAAGGGTTCAATTGGCAACCAATCGCTTTTAATTATTTTGAAAACGATAAGGTAGATAACATGATCGAGATTATTACTGGGAATTATAGATTCTCGTTTTGATTATTATAGATTCTAGATGCACAACACTGGCATCTTTAAATAATCTATACTAATATTTAAAATCCTTAAGTGACTGACATACTGATTAATCACGATCCTGCACAAACCACTCAACGTAAGGGTACGAACATAGTGGAGGCAGGTTTCTGCTTTCCGGCAACCAGCGCCGTCTCTGGGGACCTATTCTTGACCACATATCGCTTACATCTCGCATCTCCGAAAAAGCCATATAACAATACACGTGATGCGTAACTTTGCGTATATGCCGTGTATTGTTATATGGCTTTTTCGGAGATGCGAGCAGGGTTCGGAAGTAGTTAATTAAGAGGAAATTTACCTGATTAACTAACCTAACCTAACCTAACCATATCCAAACGCCGCTCCCGCCGCGCCGGCGCCGCACATGGGGGTATTTGGTCTATAAACCTGGCCAAAAGTGAAATATTTTTATTTTCATTTTTTATCTTAACTGAATACAAGCCTATAAATACTAAATGTAAGCACGTTTATTAGCTTTTTTTTAAGTCGTAAGTTGACTATCAAATAAATAATATATTTCAATTATAAGTATGAATTATCCTGAGTGTATTCTGAATATTTCTAAGATTATAAAATAGTGGAATTGTTTATAGTGCTTTTTTGCAAATTGTTTATAGTAACTGTCATGATGGATACAGAGCCAGCTGTCAAGTCCTGTTTTATGCCATATTTTTATTTGGAAACGTTTCCTTCTATTCTATTTCTTTATAATGTTTTATATTTAAAAAATCAGAGGCATTTTTATAAGGTGTAAGACTATTGGGCAATATTCCGCATAGAAATTAGTATCCGTTCAATGCTTAAAGTCTCCAGCTTTGGAATATGTACAAAAATCTTGCGAATATTTGCCACTGCCAAAAAAACATTGATTTAAATAGATTCTTAAAGGAAATAGTCTTTACCCTATAACACCCATCCTCGCTCAAATATCGTCTATAATATACAAATTACTTTCTTGTTCTAGCATCCTCATCCAATTGCTTGGTTTTGCACAGAATGGCCTTATTTGATCGTGGCCTTATTTGATCGGAGGGTTTCAGAGTAGAGGAAAAAATATTGTGTAGGAAAAACAAAATGAGGTTCCATATTAGCACCCTGTCCTCTAATAATTAATATTACTAGCAAAAAAGCAAAAAAATCATAAAACATAATTTTGGCCAACTTTTAGTTCTTAACACCCTCTGTGCGCCGTCGGCGCCTGCCAAAGCAGAAATAAATACATTTTCGTTCCGGTAAAAGCGAGAACGCCGACGAACGCTGGTTGACGGCTCCTACCTGCTTTTACTGTGAACTAACCGATTTGATAACACGCTTTAATTTCTCAAGGTTATAAGCGCAAGGCGGCGCGGCGCGGCGCTACTATGTAACCATATACAGGGTGTCCCAGAAATACGTGCAAGTATTTTAACTTAACTGGTAGTATAGTTCAACCCCAGAAACACGCCTATGAGGTTTTTTTCTAAATATTTTTTTTGAAAATTCGGAATTTTTTGAAAATATTTTTGAAATTTTTTTGCAATTTTTTTTTAGTTTTTATTTCAAAAAATAATTTCTTGATAATATGGCAACATAGGTAGTAGATTAAATTTATAAGAAAGAAAATCCAGAAAAGATCCAGTGGTTCTCAAACAAATATCGAAGTATTGGAAAGAATATGTAAGGACCAAGAACTATTGACTACAATAAAACGATGGAAAGCAGCATATTTTGGTCATATTTTTCGAAATAACAAATATAGTTTCTTACAGCTGATCGTTGAGGGAAAGATTGAAGGACGACGAGGCATCGGGCGTAAACGGTTTTCCTGCTTGCGGAATTTGCACCAGTGGTTTAATATAGGAGAGGCAAGTGCAATTATCCGTTTGGCTCAGACAGGGAGGAATTCCAATTGATGGTCGCCAACCTCCGATGAGGAGAAGGCACATGAAGAAGGTTCTCAAAATTTGAGCAAAAAATCATTTTTTTTGGAAATTTTCAAAGTAAAATAACTCCGTTATTTTGGACTTATTTGAAAAACGATAAAGAGAAAATGTGTTTCTTTTATCTAGATCTACCACCCTTTAAAATACTTGCACTTATTTCTGGGATACCCTGTTTATAACAATACACGTGATGCGTATACGCAAAGTTGCGAACGATGTCAAGAATAGGTACCCAGATTGGCGCTGGCTACCAGAAAGCGGCAAACCTGCTTGCACTGTGTTCGCACACTAACAAGCTCAATGGGCTCTTTCACTATATTTTGGAATTAGCATAATTGAATAAAGCAATTAATTCTAGAATTTTCTGCTATCTCACTTTCGAAAAATTTGAAGTCGTTCTTAAGAAAATAAATAAAAACAAAAAAGCCCAGAATAAAAATCCGCACTTTATTTTTACTACGTCACACCTGGCATGTTGAAAAGCGGCAACACGGCCGCGGCCGGGCCACCATGCTGACCCATCACCACCTCTACACAAGGCCAGTGGAATTGCAAACACTTATCTACCATAGTTTAGAATTTACTGAACGTTTGATAAATATATACTATTATGGACAATACAGGAAGTTACTTGTTACTTTTAGTAAAAGCCTTGGTAAATGCTCTTCGAATTATAAACTGCACTGGCTTGGGTCAAAAAATATAGAATATTTTTCTATGTTTTGCAGCATTACACAAGTGGGAATAAATTTAAACTATAATAGGTGAGGGTGAGGATAAATAAAAAATATAATATGTGTTTCAAGATTTTATATAGAAAAAAAACTAAATACCTTTATGGGGATTCGTAAGTAAAACTTACGCTTAGCTTAGTTTTCTTTACTCTTTCTCTTTACATATGGCATTGCCTTTGTGGTAAAGACGTCATTCCTTTTTTTGCATAGTTCTTCAATAAAATATTGGATATTCTGAACAAGATGGATTTAATAATAAATTCTGACGTATGTGAGAGGCAATTGTGACCTAAAAAAAAGACTTACATCTAGGCCATTTATATTTTCAAATGTCAATGTTGTCAATATCTTTCTGTGATCTTTTTGATGTAAAAAGCTTGATTCTTCTTCCAATATTTTACTTATAGTGAGGTAAGTGTAAGCGGTAGTCATATAACTACATCCTCACTAGGCTAACAGAGGCTTTGGCCTTTGGCCTTTTTGAGGCATATTTAATGCACTTCATACCCGAAAACTACTAGTAGGAGTGAAATTATCTCTTTTAATAGCTGTCAACCATTTTTTACGAAGCTCGTCATTTTTGGGGAATATAAAAGCAGAAACCTTGGGACCCCCTCTATAATTCCCGTGACAATTTGGAACAGAGCATGTAAAAGGCATGCTACAATAAAATGTTAACCCTTTAATACCTATCTTTTGATTATTGTAAGTAACCATTATAAAGTACCTACTATGCAGACTGGCGGCGAAGGCTTTTTACTCATTTAGTTGTAATATCTTGATAAATACTTGTAGTTCTTACCTTAAAATAATTTATAATAGAGGAGTACAACAAGCACAAAAGTTTGAAGTTCTCTATGTGGAATGTCTATTTGGATTTTTAATTACACTGTGTGTTATTTTATCACAATTTTCTGATCACACCAAGCACTGAACACTAAGAACTAAACAAACGTGTTGCAGAAGGACAACAAACTAGAGATAATTAATTATTTCTGGTATGCAATCGGAACAAGAAACCACTACAGGCTTTTCAGGTTAAAGGTAAACAATTTAATAATGCGCTGCCTTCGCCGCCATATTTGCCTTACCCATATCATCTTGATTGACCTTGAGTTGAGGTGGTGCTGGTCAAATCAAATCGCAATGTTGCCAGTTGTTGGCTGGCGCACGAGTACAGTTCTTCAATGTGATTGGGTGTATTTTTCATACGTCATCAATTGGGCTTTAAAATTATTTCAAATTAAAGCAATTTTAAGGGCCTATAAAAAAAATTATTCAATGTCGTGGAACTATTTTTTTTTGGATAAATATACTGAAAATAGTCTTCTATTTCAGATTTTGTCCTTGAATTGGGTATTTTATTTTTTGTGAAAGAGCCCATTTTGGCATACAGATTGATTCTAGGGTGTAGAGGTTCGATAAGAAGGGATTTTTCGAAATCCCAGTTCCAAGAGGGTGAAACCACTCCTCAAATATTACAATATTTTTTATTTAAAAAACGGTCAAGTTTCCGAAAAAACGCTTAAACACGTATATTTTATTTTGTTTTTTTACATATTTTAAGATTTTTTAAAAATGTATACAGGGTGTTTCGAAAAATCTGGTCATTGATTAATCACGATCCTGCTTAAAGCGCTTGACGTAAAAAGCTAATTTTTGGAAAACAGATTGAATTTAGGGTGTAGAGGTTCGATAAGAAGGGATTTTTCGAAACTCGAATTCTAAGGGTGTGGAACTTTCCCTCAAATATTAAAATATTTTTTATTTAAAAACCGGTGAGTTTTTCGGAAAAACTCTTAAACAGGTATATTTTATTTTGTTGTTTTACATATTTTAAGATTTTTTATAAATTTATACAGGGTGTTTCATAAAATATTAAGTAATCACGATTCTGCTTAAACAGCTTGACCTTTAAAGCTGATTTTTGGCAAACGGATTGACCGTGGGGTGTAGAGGTTCGATAAGAAGGGGTTTCTCGAATCTCAAATTCCAAGAGGGTAAAAACGCCCCTCAAATATTACAATATTTGTTATTTAAAAAACAGTTAGTCTTTCGGGAAAACGCTTGGACAAGCATAATTTATTTGTTTTTTTTACATATTCTAAAATTTTTTAAAAAATCATACAGAGTGTTCCAAAAAGTTGGGTAATTTCTTAACCACGATTCTGCTTAAACTGCTTGACGTAAAAAGCTTATTTTTAGCAAACGGATTTTTTGAAAGTCAAATTCCAACGAGATGAAACTACCCCTCAAATATAACCAAGTTATATAATAATATCGCCATATTGTTTTTTCTCATGCTGACATAAATGTGAGAAAATTTTATCCAGTTTGTATGTTAATGGAAATTCTTGCTTTGCTTTATCATCACCATTACAAATGATTAATTCGACGCGAACGAAGTCGCTGGTACACGCTAGTGCTTAATAAAATGTTTATACCAAAGTGTAAAATGATTACAAATGAACTCAATTAAAAAACGTTTTAAGGTACTACTCGGCAGAAAAGTATGTTCGAATTACAAAAAAGCTTACAAGAAAGTTGTCAAGTCCGATGAAATTCAAGAGAAATTGAAAAAATACACTGAGGTTTTCGATTATCTCAGTGAGCAAACCGGTCAAACATTTAAACTTACCAAACCCAAAGAAGTGGCTGATCTGTTTGTTGACTTATTAGCACAGGTAAGTCAAATCAAGTAGACTTAAGTGCTTATTACCACAGATTAGGTATCCTATAAGTATGCAGATAAAAATCTTGTCCCTAATTCGTGGTACGAAAATTGTTTTTTATGACGATGTGCAAACGAGTCAAATTTCCTGTGCGCAAAAATAAACTCGCGTAAAATAACAATAAACAGCGTAATAGAGCAGAGATATCGCTAAACCGAATAGCGTGCATGGACGTTAATAAGGCCAGGTGTTATTTCCTTTACGTGAGGTGGTATTAACTCTCTTCATTTATAGTTATCGGATCGGAAAGAGTTCTGTTCGCGTCGCGTCCGCTATTTAAACTTAACCTAACTTTGAATTTAAAACTTTGACATTGTTTTGTTTACTAGGTATTTTAAAACTAAAGTGCTTATTTCCAGTGCTTTATTGTTCAACGTCTGCCAGTGGGTTTAGGGCAACAAGCAACAAACAACAAATTCTCTTAGAAGGGCTAAGTCGTCATCTGCTGTAAACCTATGACTCTTTATAGGTTCTTTAGTATTGGAAGAGGTGGAATCCATATTTTGGCCTATATTTATTTAACTAAAACTAATCCCAGCTACTTAAATATCAAATTACCTAATAAAACTAAAGCAATAATTCAAAACAATTCAAACATAACCTAAAATAAAAGATCTCGCCGGCCGGCTCCGGTTGTCAAATACCCGCACATGCCCATTTAAGCAATTTTTAAACGTTATCAGAGGTTATTTAGAAAGAGCGCTTGGCGTAATTGATCCGCAAATTACGTCAGGCGGTAACGTTAATAGCGGGTGTTGTGTTAAAAATTGACTCGCGCATATTGTAACCATGATAAGGTACGCGTAAATACTGGATGACGCTATTCGGTTTTCCGATATCTCTCTAATAACTGTGCCGGTCAGGCGCTGTCAGAGAAATAGAACGGATAGAGAATGAGCGTCAACATGCGCAGAAGGTCTAATCAAGTTGGGCGCCATATTCCAGGTCTTCGTGTCATTTTGTATATAGGTGGTAATCTATAAGTAATCAAATATCAATTTGCTGTTTTCAACCATACGGGGGAATTTAAATTTAGTGAAATTCTATCATTCATTATGGTTAGTTAACATTAATATGATTTATTTAATTATCAGTTTCAAAACTGCGTACAATATTGGTATATAATACACTAAATATACGAATATTCTGACAAAAGACGCTACGGACAGATGACCTTTTCGTCGTAAAACACTCGAAATGATATTAAATAAGTATTTACAATATTTCATGTTTACTTGTACTGAATTACGCGTTTCAATTTAAAATTTTTGCAAATTTGGTAAAAATTGTTCTAAACAACTTTTTGTTCAAGTTGTATATTCATAAAAAACATTTGGTTCATAATTATTTTTGATGATTACCTACCTTGTATTTTTAATATAAACCTAGAAAAAATATGTTTTTGTTTTATTTTTTTTATTCGTCCCTTCAAATTATGTTTCAAAAACTGTTACATAACATGTCCTCTAACAAATATTTTCATAATACATAAACATCATTGATTTTATTAAGGGTATTATTATTAGTATTTATCCTGGTTTTTGTCGACAATAAAAACTCAATCTTGTAATAGAACATCAATTTTATATTTCGTAAAATTATTTTGATACAAATTCGATTTGTCAAAATTCAAGTCATTAATATATTGATAAACAACCCAAATTATTCCTAAATATTTTATTATAAACAAAAACTGTTACCGGTAAGTTTGTAAAACACATTATGGTTTGTCGTAATACTAGAAAAAATCATTTATTTTTTGCACAAAAGAAGCTTGTCGATCCTTATTTGTCCATAACAAAATTCTGTATGTACATATACCTAATTTATTATTAAGAAAATTAGATTATATGATCTCAGAATTTTAAGAAATTTTTTTTTAAGATAAAATAGTTTCTTCTCAACTGTAATATTGTCAACTTTGGCCTGTATTTTATCTATTTAAAAACATGGGATTGACAATCCCCTTACTAAAATACATACTGGAAGGTACCGATTAAGTTTCATTGCATCAAATACCTTTACTATAAATCCTGGCTCACAACTCACAATTTAAGGCCATTGCAAAATGCTTTTGAACTTCATCATAGATTTTACAAGAATAAAAGTGTAATATTGAAACAAAGTAACACTGTAAGCTTCATGACTAATAGTCTCATTTTTAACACTCTTTAAATATCATCTCGTTAACAATTATGAATATTATATGATTTTTCTCAGTGATTTGTGGCACAGATACAAATTAATATATGCCCCATAACAGTTTTTAAATAAGAAACTTCTGCCTACAGATTTAATTTTCTTATTGGCATAATACCCTTTCTTCCTATATAAATCTTGCCATTTTTTCAGTCCAATGTTCCTTGTTTTTACAGTTGTAGGAATACTAAAAATGTTGACTATAGAACTTGATACTATGTTTGAAAAAGCCTTCATACCTGTAACTGTGCATAAATCTAATTAACTGAATTCCTCCTCCTCTTGACACTCTCTGAACACTGCTGCTGCTAATGTTAGAAATATTTCACACAAAACTACAACTACCTACAACAAACTTTTACAATAAAATGTTAAATTTTCGCTGTTCGATTAAAATAATTCTATCTTATGTTTTTCTTTTCCTCCAAATAATCTTCTTGTGAAGTAAGGACCAATCTTATTTGACATATTTCTGGCTGGTACACTTGAACTTGTGCTTTCATGGACACTATAAGAGTGCACTCTTTTACAGAAGCACAAACATTGATTCCAAGTATCTTCTTCCTCCACACGTAATAAAAACATCCTCTTTAAATGGCCACATCATACACTTATTTTAGACCATTCCCAATTACAATCACGATTTTTTACAAATCGCCTTTTAGGAAAAAACTAAAAAATAAACAGTTTTGGATCATCTGTAAACACGATTATGTTGTATAAACTTACACATGAAAACTAATCATTTTTCCCGGCGTATTAGCTTTCTTAGAATGACTATGACAACAAGCCTTTTTGAATTAGTGTTTAGAATAATTGAGATAATAATAAACTTTAACTAGATAACAACACAAACGAAAAAAAAACAAAACAAACAGATGTCAATTAAAGAGGGGAAGTGACAGCGAAACCTGGAAGATGTCTGCCATCTTGCCGTCGACAAAAATTTGGATGCGCACTCGTCGAAGCTCATTCTCCCACTTCCATATCTCTGGGCGCTGTGCACAATTTTAGAGGCCATAAGTGGGCGTGCTATGTGCGCAAACTAGTCACCTAACTAGTGCCCGATTCCGAAAATTGGAACCACGAAAAACGATAAAGAAAAAACAAAGATTATAATCTGTATTATCTGTGCTATTACGCTGTACTTTCGGGTCGCTCTCAGGGGTCGGGTAAAGCGGGTGTGTGGCCGAAGGAAATATATATTATACCTATTTCAGAAATCTGTCTAAGCCTTAGCCCAATCCTGTAGTGTTAAACCACAACCAAAATTCCAAACACACGTGCTTTGATTATGGTTTGCAAAGCTTCAGCATTTGCAATAAAATAGTGAGCAATTTATTACAAAACCATATAAATTATATATCACTGTAATAACAAAACTTCAATCTATTTCCGTATTGTAACGGAATTTTTAATTATGTCTTTATTTTCGAGAAAATTTAGTTCAAACATAAGGAATATTTTGTTGATGTTTGACCATCAAAATCTAAAAAATAAAGAAGTTGTCTAAAAATGTGCTACAATACGGATATAGTATAATCCTTTAACTTTAATTTCCTTCTTCATTTGTGTAAAAATACCTGGCCAGTTTTACATAAAACGTTAAATGCCGAACGCTTATTTTGCTACTTTTTCGGACTAGTGTAATGGACACATTAACATTTTTAGAAAATGTATATATCTAAAATCAAACATTTACTCAGGTAGTTAAAGGGTGTCCCATTTTAGTGTGTTTTACAGGGTTTCTCGTGTTTGATTAGAGATACAAAGAGGCAGTTTTACCCATATACATATAACTTTATATACTCAGCCTAATCTCTAAAAAGTGAAGCCCAAACAGTGAAAGAGAAATATGGAATTTTGCATAAGTCTATTTCACCCGGATAGTCACTTAATTGCGCATGCCTTACCTGAAGAAGTTTTCATTGGTCCGTGTTTTTAAAGGGAAGTGGTTGACTGACATTTCACCTAACCTTCAATTTTATTTATATTTTTATTATTTATAACACATTATCATGGAGTTGGAAAAATATCAAAAAATAGTTGGAAACAATAAACTAAACAAAATCACTCTTTTACACGCACAAATAAAAAGTAATCCAAACAGAACTAAAACAACAATCAATCGGAGTTTGGCTCAATCGCAGTTCAATAGATATCCGGGTGAAATAGACTTATGCAGCATTAATATGAAACTGAGTTATGTTGTCTTTTTTCTTAGTTATAGTTATATGTATATGGTTTTACCATCACTGAGCTACTTTTTTATAAAACTAAGAGTACGAGAAACCATGTAAAACATACGAAAATAGGACACCCTGTTCAAGAGGTTAAAAAAATTATATGGTGAATGACATCGATCGTCATTAAACTAGCTAGTTTATTATTTTTCAAAAAATTAATAAAACATTTTTCTAAAATGTTTATTTTAAAAAAATACCATTAGTAGAATTGATTCCAAATAATTCCTAATTTACAATAACTCACTAATATTTTTTTTTTGTTATGAACATTTTGGCGGGTACTGTATAATCTTTGATATTTCAGCAAGCTTTTGGTTACCCAATAGAAAACTGGACGTATAAATATATGCCAGAAATGAGCAGACTAAACATTGATAGTTACTATCTACTGGCAAATACAACTAAACTGCGCAAACTTTCAGCAGGTAAGGACGTACCGGGTGGCCAAATAAGAATGGACGCCGGCTATATCTCAGAAACTACTTATCGTATAACTTTAGGAAAAAAATTCGAAAAAAGTAATTCGACCAAGAGAAATCGCTGGAAATTATTTTCTAGTTCGAAAAATGTCCGCTAGGAGGCGTTTCTCTGATAACCAATCAGAAAACAGGGTTTTTCTCAAAAATATGCAGGTGAGTAGGTATTTTAAATATTGCTATTGTAATCATCGAGAAATTTGTAATTTTTGTGATATAGAGTATTTTGCTCTATCTCATAAAATAAAGTGGTGGGGGAAGGTTAAACTTCCTTTTATTAAAATAAGGATAACTCTGGTTTTGGTTGTCCGATTTAAACAAACTAGGTCTCGTTTAAAAGAGTTTTTCTTCCTTAATGATCTCCAGTATAAATTTTGTTTCCATATTTTTTTTTCGTGGTAGCTAGAGGGCGCTGTTTGACATCATAACAGATATTGCGCTTTTGCATAAAAAATCTAAGTATGAGGTTATATTTCTCTTTGCACAGTTAAATTGAGCACAAAATTTCCAAAAAATCAGAGCCCATACCGCAACTTTCTATATTCTCTCTAACCGGAGATATTAAGAGAACAAATCATGTTAGGCTGCCACTTAGGATTATATGGTCTAAAAATTATAGTAAAGGCTAGGAAACAAAAAGGGGTAAATTGTTTACGTCAAAATATCAAAACGTTTAAGTTCAGTTTTCATGCATCCGAATTTCCGGCGTTTACTTAAAAAAAATGACGTCATAAATATGTAAACGAACATTATCATCCATCCATATAATTTTTACGATTTTCTTGGTTATAGTCTGTCCAACGAGAAGATCCTTGACAGTGATAGATGTGTCTGTCATTTTAATTTCAAAGTAGTTTATTTTATTTTACAAAGAAATAAGTTGGTTCAACTGGAACGCATTGCAGGATATATTTAAAATTTGATTGACAAGATGACAAGTGATTACTTCAAAATATTGTGAAAAAAACTGTATAAAACTGAAAAAATGTAATCGAGTTATTTTATTTAATAAAAACGGTATGTGTTAATACAAAACAAACAAGAACAAGGCACTACATACCAAAAAAATATAAAAAAGAACTATTATTTACTTTCAAGCTTTATGAAACTACCGGCATTTATGATTATATTTATCAATATAACTTATGTACAAATACTAATTTGGAATATTCCACAGGAATAAATAAAACAACATAGGTAAATAAAACAAACTATTTTATTAATAATAACACCTACCAAATTTTATACCTTAAAGGTTGATTAATTTACTTTAATCTTAATTTTTTTAAACCAGTACCTTTTGACATTATTTTTCTGCAGTACTAAAATCCATTATTTACCTATCGTGTGCTGTCGATATTTTACAGCTACTCCAGTTTTTAGTATGTGTTTAGTTTGATCCTTCTACCATATACGAGATGCACTTATCTACGACGAAATGGTATACAAACTTTATCGATGGCAACTTCATTGGTGTATAAAACTTTCTGCCTGGGCAGCGAGTATAAACCATAAACTGTGCTCTGGGTCTACAGTTAATTTTCACTCGATTTTTCCTCCACTTGACTTCAAAAGACACAAAACACACGTAATAATACGAATCAACATGCATCATCTTCCAAAACGCAGGGTATTTAACAAAAGTTGACACAAAATTCTAACCTATAATTTGGCAAGACTTTGACAAGCGTCAAAAATGACAAAAATCTAAAGGCGAGTTCATACTCATCGGCGTCCGTTTATCGTTCATCGTTCCGTCAAACCAATAAAATTGAAATACGATCTGTCATTTTTTAAATAAACCAATAAAACTGGTTAAAAACAACAAGACACGACGCATGACGGATTTATATTTAAACCCATCCATAGATAACTTAAAAATTATTAGAAACTTTTTTTAGTAAAATAAATAGATTGGTATGGGACGTCATCTGCTTTTCTTCTGTCATCGTCTGTCGAAATCTTACCTGAGAAAAAAAACAGAGTATAAGTAGTTTCTGAGATACAGCCGGCGTCCATTCTTAGTTGGCCACCCGGTACTGCCGGTTACAGAATGCCTGCAGGTGACAGAAAACACGACAGAAAAATACTGAAACAAGGAATATTAAAAATACTTAAACTCTTAGTGGGTATTATTTATTATTTCTAGAAAACGTATATATAAAACTCTTGATTTTTTCCATATCCGTATTAAATATTGGGACACCATGTATACAGTATTTTCTCTCAGGTTATCTAGTAGGAAAATTTATCACCGATACTGAAGATAAAATAGCAACTCCAACCAGTCCAGTCAAAATGTACCTTTACTCGGCTCACGAAAAGAATATAGCTACCTTACTAATAACTTTAGGGGTATTTGAAGATGTGGATGTTCCTGCTTTCGGAAGTTATATTATTGCGGAAGTGTGGAAAATTAATGGAGTGTATGGATTTAAGGTAAATTCATACTTAATTACATTTAAAATGACCATACAGTCTCCAACTTGTATTATTGGGCTCTTTTTGATGTAAGATAATGTTTATATAGTATGTCAAAACATAAAACATACATATAAGATGTGTTGGGTTATACTGAACGATCCACAATGACTGAAACAGTTGACTATTCTGATTATATTTATACTTTTTGTTCCAGTTTTTCTATCAAAACTACAACGAAATTGATCCAGTGGTCAAGATTATACCAGGCTGTGCAGAGTTCTGTCCCTTGGACGATTTCAAAAATTTGATGAGCCAGTACATTCCAGATGACGATTATTGCGAACTGAAATGAACATTTTGATATTGATGTTTTTTTTTTGACGAAAATATGCAAGAATAAAATTTATTATTTTTATTTGTTTCAATTTTTGTAGGTAATACACCTTTTTAGACGCCTTTTTAGAACAATAATCCAGATTCCTATAGAAAACTTTCATCCACAATAACTCATTAGTAGACGACACAAAGATACTGCCTCTTTAGTGCGGGTGTATATGTACTCTCCAGCGTTTAGATAAGTATAATATACAGGGTGGTCCGAACTGTACTCCGGAAACTTCGGCCGCATATTCTGCATATAAAAATAAGTAAAAAAGTTTGTATAAATGTATGTCCAAATTGCTTATTTTTGGAGATACAGGGTGTAGAAGTTTCATTTTTATTTCGATTTTCCCAATTAATTTCTGAAATAACGTCAATATTTGGATGAAAATTATTGTCTGGTAGTTTTTTGACATGAGAAATTTGATTTTAATGTCAATATATGACTCCTATTTGTAGGGAGCGCCACCTACAAGTATTTTAACTGTTTCGAAGAGTAATAGCTTTTCGTTTATACCTGTATAAAAATTACTGAGTAAAAAATATACATTTCCGTGTCTTTTTACGTAAAAAAATGTTTTTCGGTAAAAATCTCTACCAGCAACCGTTCTAAAGATATTTAGAATAGAAGTAGTCAATACATGCCATTATTGACAAAAGATAAACACGTTGAGTAGATAGTTATTTGACTGCTTGATAGTTATTAAAATGTTTAGTTTCGGAGATACAGAGTGTAAAAGCTTTATTTTTTTATAGTAATAACTTTTTATCCCTACCTGTATAAAAGTAAGTCCCTACCTGAGTAAAAAAGTATACATTTACGACGTTTTTTACGCAAAAAAGGTGTCTTGCTAAAAATCGCTACGAGTAATATGGTTCTCGAGATATTTGTAACCGAAATTATTTAGTTCAATTATATAATTCAATTATATTAGTTCATTTATAGGAACTTTTTTACTTATTTTTAACCGCAGAATATGCTGCTGAAGTTTCCGGAATACAGTTCGGACCACTCTGTATATTCACATTCACCCACTGGGAAAATAAGTACAAAAAATCTCACTCCTCCTGGACTATTGGGTAAATTGTAATGCCAATGACTAAAGAATATAAGGACGTGTAACGTCCCTATACGGGCTGCAGCAGAATTTGTGACCTTAGAGACCTTTCTTTTGGTGGCAAACAATGAGTCATCATTTGGTCAGCAGCGACAATTTTAGCGATTTTTAATAGTTTGTGTGTAGTAAACTTTATATAAACTTTATTGCAATGGTGATTAGTTCTTCTTTTTTTTTATGATGGCTCTGCTACAAGGCAACCATCATAAAAAAAAAGAAGAACTAATCACCATTGCAATAAAGTTGATTAGTTGTTCAGCTTTCAAGTGTAAAAGCAGGGTTAGGTTTTATAGGTAAATAAACAGTCCACTCCAACTTTTTAGCGTTTTCTTATTGAATTCGATAATTATTCTTCAATTTCAATTAACATCTATATGTACTTGATATGCGCTATACGTCGATACTAGTTTTGTACCTTTTGTTAACATTTTAATACGTTTTTTTCGTAATTAATTAGGATGATACACCATAGGCGTGCAATTTTAGCTCGCCTCCCCGTGGTGCACCCTGGGTAACTCTAAAGAGCTAAAACAGTTGGCGACCAGTCTATCCTAGCGATCTCCTGGTCATTCAAGCATGCAAGAGCAAGACAACTATATCCGTAAAGGTCCTTCTCAGGACCTATTGACGAGGAAACTCGGGCCTTCAGTCCGAATTTGCCAACTAAATGTAGAAGGAATCAGCAAGGCAAAATGCGATTTTCTTTCGAAATTTCTTCTTGGCAATAACATTGATGTCTTATTACTCCAAGAAACCCATACTAAATCTGATGATGAGATCTTAAAAAGGGGAAGAATAAACGGTTTTGAAATATTGGGAGCCACACACAGTCAATTTTACCGTACTGCGACATACATTCGAAGGAACATTGAAAATGCACATCTCATTGCTGCTACAACAGACAACAGCATCCATACCGTCATTATTAAAGTTGAAGAAACAACCATTGTCAATGTATATAAACCACCAAATCAACCGTGGCCTACAAACATCCTCCCAGCCTTGAATCATCCAACAATATTCGCGGGAGATTTTAATAGCCACCACGAGCAGTGGAACTATACTGGTAATGATGAAAATGGCATTGTTTTAGCAGACTGGGTGGAAGTTAACAACCTTCACCCCCCTCTGATTTTCGATGCCAAAGATAAGGGTACTTTTCGATCTGCTGCCTGGAGAAGAGACTACAATCCAGACCTCTGCTTTGTTACTAGTAACCATAACGGCGTTCCATTGCCAGTCGAAAGAAAAGTTGCCGGTGACTTCCCCCACAGCCAACATAGACCAGTGATCCTGAATGTGGGTGTATCAATCCCTGTGGTCAGATCCACACCTCGTCCTAGATGGAACTTTAAGAAAGCTAATTGGGACCAATATGCACAAAAATTAGACCAATGTATCCCCTTTATACCACCTGAACCAGAAAACTATAATCGTTTCATCGGGGCCGTAATTTCAGCAGCGAATAAATACATTCCTAGGGGGTATAGAAAAGAATACATACCGGGCTGGAACGAACACAGTGAACATCTATACGAGCAATTCAAAGAGAGCGTAGATCAAGAAGTTGCAGATAACCTCCTCCATAGTCTAGACACTGCTAGAAGAGACCGCTGGATTGAAACAGTGGAAAACACAGACTTCCATCGATCTAGTAGGAAGGCCTGGACCCTTCTACGTAATTTAGGAGGTTCAACAAGACAAAATAGGCCAAGCTCTCAAATATCAGCTAATCAAATTGCAAATTATATAGCTGAGACATCGAGGTCTCGACGTGATAAGGAGCACACAATTGAGATTAAGAGGAAATTGAAGGAGTTAAGAACAACCACTCCCCATATGTCGGAATATTCACAGCCCTTCGAAATTGAAGACATAGTCACAGCTATTAAAGACATCAAGCCGAACAAAGCTCCTGGATATGACAACATTCATCCAGAATTCCTTATTTACGCTGGAAACCCTGCCCTCAAGTGGCTTTGTGGCTTCTCGAGAATTTTATCAACCGGCAACATTCCAAAGGAATTAAAGAAAACTAAAATAATAGCTGTGTTAAAACCAGGAAAATCTAAAGATCAACCTCAGAATTATCGACCCATAGCCCTTCTTAGTTGTACCTATAAGCTCATAGAACGACTTATTTTCAATAGAATAAAGGATAGTATCTTAGACCATATTCCAGTTGAACAGGCAGGTTTCATTCCTAAACGCAGTTGCTGTGACCAAGTCCTAGCACTTACATCTCACATTGAAGGAAATTTCCAACTTAAGCTTAAAACCTCCATAGCTTTTGTCGATTTAACAGCCGCTTACGACACAGTCTGGAGAGATGGTATGGTTTATAAATTACTTAAAGCACTTCCTTGTAAACTATAGCTCGAGTTATCAACAACATGCTAAGGAACCGATATATCCAAGTATTTCAGGGAGAGAGCACAAGTAAACCTAAAAAACTTAACAACGGCTTACCCCAAGGCTCCGTTCTCGCCCCTCTCGTATTCAACTTATACATCTCTGACCTACCAGATACGCAATCTAGAAAATTTTGTTTTACGAGACGATATAGCCATAGCAACGGAATATGAATCGCTATATCAAACCCAAGAAACGCTTACAAAGGATCTCGCATCCTTGAATGCCTATTTTATAAAATGGAGACTTCAACCCAATGCAAATAAGACAGAAGTGGCTACCTTCCATCTTAATAACAAGCTGGCGAATACTGAAATAAGCGTCCAGTTTGGTAGCACCACTCTGAGTAATAACAAATATCCAAAATATCTGGGGATTACTCTAGACCGTACACTCTCATTTCGAAGAAAACACCTAGAAAATGTTGCTGGGAAAATCAGAACACGAAACAACATTATACAAAAACTTTGTGGTACTTCGTGGGGTGCAAAAGCAACAATACTTCGGATCTCCGCCCTTGGTCTGGTATTCAGTGTGGCAGAGTATTGTGCACCCCTGTGGTTGAATAGCCACCACACAAATCTCGTAGACAGACAGCTGAACAACACCATGCGGATGATTACAGGGACAATCAGATGCACCCCTAGTTACTGGCTTCCAGTTCTGAGTAACATCCTACCTCCAAATCTACGCAGAAACGAGGCTCTTCTTAGAGAATTTGATAAAATAATAGCTACCCCAACGCTACCTGTCCATAAAACACTTCCTGCTTTACAGGTGAATAGACTTAAGACAGATGAACAACTAAAAAGCAGTAACTACAATTCTCGAGAACAGTGGCTTCAGTTATGGAGAGAAATGGCCGATGCGCACCTATATTCCTGGTTCAAACATAACTATTGCCAGACAGCGGGTACCGATCTAAACCGGAAAACATGGTCAATTTTGAATAGGATACGCTCTGGCCATGGAAGATGTACGGATTTCCTTTATAAGTGGGGAAAAATACCTTCCCCAGAATGTGATTGCGGATCCCCTCACCAAACCATCCATCACATAACTAGAGAGTGCAACCTACGCGCTTATGGTGAAGACTGGAGGGACTTTCTGGAGGCTTCTCCATCAGCTTTGGAATGGCTTCTCCATCAGCTTAGGTCATCTAGATCTTAATATATAGTGTTCGTAAATACGTTTTTTATGTTGTCTTTTTATATTATACTTGTTTTTTTTATATTTACATTGTAATGTTTTCATTTACATTGTAGTTTATTTTATGTCTATGTTTAAGTGTCTGGTTTTCTTGCATGTATATGAGCCATACGATAAATAAATAACCATAGGCGTAGTCAAAACAATTATCAAAAAATATAAATATTGCTTCAAACAGCTAGGTTAAGAAAAATATGTGCTACGGCACTGTTTGGTGACATCGTCACAATTTGCTCTCGGGTGTTATTTGTCCTGGGATTATTTAGTCATTGAGTAATGCCGAGTCCAGACCAAGGCGACAAAAAGTAAACACGATTTTGAGACAAAAACAAGACAAACTTGTCACAAAAAATGGAGACTTCTTACAAGACAAACTTGAGACAAATTGTCCACACCGCAATGACAAAAGTACAAGAAAGTCAAAAGTTTAGTTGTTGCGATTGAGTTTTATTAACCATGTGTGATTTCACTGGTCTCCTGTGGCAGCACACGCCATCCACACTGCGCCGACAACTTGTCGCAAAACGAACAAAACATAGACACTTTGATCTTTACCGACTCGAGACGGCACATTCAACAAGTCTCCGAATTTTGAAACAAAACAAAAATGAGACAAAAACGTCGCAGTTTTGTCTGCTTGGTCTGGACCCTGCATAAGATGACGACGAGTGGCAGATTTGATTTTACAGGAAAGTGAATTACATAAAACAATATAGTAAAAAGGGACGGGATGGATAATTTGGAAAGCATCCATCTCCCAAAGTATTGAACATACCCACCACTTCTACCAGCGCACAGTGGTTCCCCTTAATTAGCTGCGCGGTCATAACTGTTAGATATCTAGATATAGCTTGACTGTATCTTTTTTAATAGAAATTGATAACAAATGCTAAATAAATGTATATAAAAATCTTAATGTAATATGTATTAAAAAAGTTGGGTCCAGTTCGTGTGATTTGCATTTTAAGTTCTAACTATTCGGAAAGGTATACAGATTATGTTTGCACATATGTACATGTTTGTTCATATTGAAGAGGTCAAATTTATTTTAAATGTTGAAAAAATAAAAGGGACAGTTGTTTCATTTTATAAATACAATTTTATTGTCAATTGATATACAGTGTGTCCACGAAATAAGTTGACACGAAGAGGAAAAAATAAGTTACTTTTATTTTAAGACAAAAAGTCAATTTTTAACCACCCGGTATAAGATCCGGCGGCAATTCGCGGCAGCCGGTGGCAATTAATTTATATGCAATATTCTTTAAGCAACAAGTATTATCATGCCGTTTAAGAGGATTTAAAAGGGAAAGTAGTTAAAAGTCTTAAAGAGTGAGAAGCAAAAATTTAAAAATACTATTTTTGTTGCCTTCAAATAAATTGCCATAAACTAATATTACTTAGGTTTAATTAAGTGCAAAAAAGAAAAAACAGTTCTTTTTACCTTTTTTTCGAACGTGCATTACAGAAAAGATCAATTTTAATAAAATAAGTAATTAATTGGCGTTATCTGAAAACTGTTTTTGTCAGCTTGATACCAGTAGCAAAAATGTGACATTTCTAATAAAAATAGCGCTACACTAGGCTTATTTGATTTTGTTATTTATTATGTATCATTTACAGGGGAATATAACAAAAGTATTAGCAACAGTTTCATGGAAACATTTTCAAATTAATATTTCTAAGTAATGACCTATCTGGGAACTACTGTGCACCGCAATGACAAAAGTACAAGAAAGTCAAAAGTTTAGTTGTTGCGAAAGTTTTATTAACCATGTGTGATTTGACTGGTCTCCTACTGTTGGCAGCACACGCCATCCACACTGCGCCGACAACTTGTCGCAAAATATACGAACAAAACATAGACACTTTGATCTTTACCGACTCGAGACGGGACATTTCCTCGACAAGTCTCCGTATTTTGAAAAAAAAACAAAAGTGAGACAAAAATGTCGCAAAAATGTATTGGATTTGTCACAACTTTGTCGTAGAAAATGAATGTTTCTGTTTTGTCACTGTTTTGTCTGCTTGGTCTGGACCCGGCATAAGATGACTACTAGTGGCAGATATGATTTTACAGGAACGTGAATTACACAAAACAACAGTAAAAAGGAACATACCCACCACTGCTTCTACTAGCAGTCGGTTTGGTATACCGGGTGTTGCATCGTCGAGCGGGACATAGGGAATCCCATGTAAATTTTAATGGGGTCAGTTATTGGCTTCCCTAATTATTTTAGAGAATAATTCTATTTAGGTTTATTGAAGAGCACTAAAACCCACATTAAAAAGAATAACTTTAGATGTTTTTGATTAGCCCGTTTACGAGTTATCGCCGATTTCTTTTTAAATATTTCTCCTTTCTTATGGTCCTGTATTTACTTATGAGCACAAGTCAAGGTAAAAGATAACTGTCAAATGAAGTTGTCATTTCAGAAATATATCTATTTAGTGCTTTATTATTATTATAAAAAACTCATACCTACATCGAAAATATTAGCCATGAATTACACTACCGAAGAAAAAGTTTGATGATTAAATGGTATTATCAAGGAATTAGTTATCAAAAGGTGTCGGACATGTTTGCTGCTCTGTATCCGAATAGACCGATACCTGGAAAATCTATAATCGCAAGGAATATCCAGAGATTTGAAACCAACGGTACTCTAATAAATAACTGCAGATGTGAAGCAAGGCAGGAACAAAGAGAAGATGCAAGATATGATACCGACTTGGAAGTTTTATTGTGCATGGAAGAGAACGATGGAAAGATCAGCACAAGGAAACTTGAGGATGAAATAGGAATAGATCACACTACAGCGTTTAGAATTTTGAAACGATATAAATACTATTCCTTCAAATATGAAAAGCACCAAGAGCTACGAGATGGGGACGAAATACGGCGGCATCGGCAGGCGTTCTGTTTTGATAAGATGGAAAGAGCAAACACGGATAGGGAATTTTTAAAAAACATATGTTTCACTGAAGAATGCACGTTTACCTTAAATAATAAACCCAATATTCAAAATTGTCGATATTGGAACAAAGAAAACCGACACAGGTTTGTCGAAACAAGGACCACAGAAAGTAAATGTTTGGGCAGGGATATTCGGACACAATATTATCGGGCCATTATTTCTTATGCGAAATTTAAATGCAGAATATTATTTGGAACTACTCGAAAATCATATTTTACCTGCTTTACATGATGCCGCTAGGGAAAATCAGGAAGTTTGGTACCAAATGGATGGCTGCCCGGCACATAGTACCCTGGCTGTTCGGGAATAGTTAGACAATATTTTTAACGGAAACGTTATTGGCCTAATCATACAGTAAATTGGCCAGCAAGGTCTCCTGATATTTCGCCAAATTATTTCTTTCAAATATAAAATAAAAAATACCCAAATCTAGACGAGTTAAAAAATGCTATTTCTGCCGAATGCAATAGAATTTCAGTTTACCAACTAGCGAATGTAAGAAGAGAATTTTATGATCGCCTGGGTTATTGTCTAGCAGTCGATGGAGGAATATTTGAACATCTTAAATCCTAAAGTTCTAACAGTTTAGTAGTACCTAAATTAATAAGTTATTGAATATTGTAATAAAACTATAATTAACCTTGTAATTGATTACTTTATTTTACTTTAATTAATATTAATTTGTATTTATAAATACATCTTTAAGATTTCCGATGTAGGAATGAGTTTTCAATAATAATAAAGCACCAGTAAAGCACTAAATAGATACATTTATGAAATGACAACTTCATTTGACAGTTATCTTTTACCTTGACTGGTGCTCATATGTAAATACAGGGCCATAAGAAAGGAGAAATATTTAAAAAGAAATCGGCGATAACTCGTAAACGAGCTAATCAAAAATATCTAAAGTTATTCTTTTAAATGTGGGTTTTAGTGCTCTTCAATAAACCTAAATAGAATTATTCTCTAAAATAATTAGGGAAGTCAATAATTGACCCCATTAAAATTTACATGGAATTTTCTATGTCCCGTTCGACGATGCAACACCCGGTATAAAATTAATCTTAAAAAAAGAGTTATTTAAAAAAAGTTCTAAGCTGTCAATTTTAAAAAACGCTTAATTTTTTCTGATTTTGTTCACCAGATTTATTACACCTATCATTAGAACGAACAAGGAAGCGATCTCGACATCGAAAGAAAAAACCAACACACATACACCATCCCAGAACCGATCGAAGACAAATAAGGAACAAGTCCGGCGTGTCGGGAGCCCACATAGCGCACCGCGAGCGCCTCGGCGTCGCTGTCGGTAGTACCGTCGTCGGTCAGTCAGTCGCGGTGCGTCTATCTTCCGACGAGCAGGAGCGACGGTCGTTGTTTTGGTCAGGAGAGCAGGAATCGACGAAGGTTGTAGGACGAGGCTCCAGGTGTTGTTGGAGAAACATGCATCGCGGGGTGCTGAGTTTCGCCCTGCTGGCGGCTTTGGGGGCGGTGTGGTTGACGGATGCAGCTTCTCTGGATCTCGGTAAGAAGTACCTTTAAGCTGCAGTGTTATTTTTTGTTACTCAAAATGTCATCCAAACAAAAATAAATCGTTTTAAGTAAATGTATGATTTATAAAGGGTGTGAGGTGATATAAAGGGGGCTGAGCGTGCATAAGAAGTTTTTAGAGAACTACAATATCTAGACAGGAGATTTCTTGCACATCATTGTTTCGCAACGAGATCTATCTATTAAAAATATTTTCAATGTGGCGGCACTTCCGGAAATACTGGAAGTTGACAGCAACTTTCTTATTTTAAACGGGTATAAATTTCATGAATTTTGATATTAACATTTTATATCTAACATTAACCGTTTTTGAGAAAAAAAGATATTTAAAATTTGTAGACGAAAAAAACTGCCTGTCAAAAAAATGTGTATAGCCTAAACGTCAAATTTAGTGATTACCACAGCCACTGTGACATAAATAGAATACATGTGGTTAACAATTTCAAAAATTAAATTGTTCGAATGTCATATAATAATGGCCGCAGCTGTCATGGAATTGAGAAACCCACTTTTTTTACTGAAACCCACTAGTGAAAAGGTTCTCCAATTCGATACTTTTTGATTATACATGTATATACCCAAAATAAATAATTTTTAAGTTATTTAAGATTTAGTTTTAAAGCGGAGGGGAGAATGCCCAACAGTGAGACAGGTCCAACAGTGAGACATTTAATCTCCTTCATTTAAAACGCGTCGAATCCAATTCCCCTTTCGAGAGTAAAACACTACCTATTAACCAACTATTTTCTATCAAATATGGAACCTGCAGTGTTGGGAGATATATGTCAACTGCACCCAATACAATTTCTGAAGCGGAAAATAATTTTTAACACGTGCGTTTTCTTCAGTCTGTAAGGCCAACACTTAGTTATTTTAATAAATCCATTAGTGGAGAGGTAAGTTTAGAATGGTTTTTTAGAATATACCTCTAAGTTTTTTTGTTCAAGTAGTTTTAGATTAAAATAAATTACAAAATGGCCGACTAGTGTTAATGTCCAGCAGTGAGACAAAATATATTTCCCAACAGTGAGACAGTGTCCGACAGACCGTGCACCCGTTAAGACTGGAACATAGGTACTTTGGGCACTCGTTGGCATTGTTGAACATATCTATCATGTTATTGATTGTTATATAACAGAATTTTTCTTTACTTTAAGTCGAAGTTACATTAACAACAAAAATCTATGAAACTCTTTTTTTTATTTCGTTAGTTCATTAAGTTAATTATATTTTTAGCACTTGTGTTTATATTGTAAGTTCTTTGTTTAAGACAGCTCTACTTTGTTTTATGCCAAACGCAAATAAATACTCTTAACTATTTTTAAGTAATTAATAAATAGTTATTTGTTTAAAACTTCCTCTGTCTTACTGTTGGACCTTAGGGCCCAACAATGAGACAAATGCAATAATAACAATATTGTTAATTTTAAGACATGTTTTTGTCTCAATGAGAGTAGTTAATTAAACATGTTTAGGAGAGAGTGGTTGCCTTTAAAGTATACTAAAATAGTTTATTTTGATGAAAAAATAAAATATTTTTACGGTCTTAAAAAAATGTGTCCCACTGTTGGGCATTCTCCCCTACATTTTTCTTGATTTTAACCAGTAGCCTATGAGTTTAAACGTCAAGTGAGGTAAAACAATAGATCTGGCCATGTCATATTGTGACGCTTTGTGCAGTTTTTTTTTCGAAACGGTATATTATTAATAATATATATCAACTATTAGATATCACTTCTTACTTCTTACAGTGCCATATTCTATATAGAGCGTAGGCTACATCTCGCATGTACTTGTGATGTGTATCATTAGTGTTTCACAAGTACACACTAAAGAGCAGATGTCACTAAAGAACGAAAATACGAGATATATTTTTATAAATACATTTTTTAAACTCTTAAGGGCGGCAGTGTTTATAATGTAGAAAATTCAAATAATTAATTTTCTGACAGATGGAAATAAATTGTTTGATTGTTTGACGCTTAATGTCAAAGGAAGCTAGATAAAATCAAGAAAAATATACATTTTAAAACTAAATTTTAAATAACTTATAAACGATTTATTTTAGGTATATATATGAACATTTATAGTCAAAAAGTAACGAATTTAAAAATCTTTTCACTAGTGAAACAAAAAAGGTTCCTATTTGGAAAAAAGATATTTATGATATTTTTTTTAATAGCTCAACTCTATGACATCTACCGCCATTGCTATATGACATTCGAACAATTTAATTTTTGAAATAGATATATAGTCTGTCCAACGACAAAATCCTTGACAGTGATAGATGTGTCTGTCATTTTAATTTCAAAGTAGTTTATTTTATTTTACAAAGAAATAAGTTGGTACAATTGGAACGCATAATTAATATATTTAAATCATTATTTAAATTTTGAATGACAAGTGATTACTTCAAAATATTGTGTAAATATTAGGTAGAGTGTTTAATATCAAAATTCATAAATTTTACAGAGAATTTAATTATGTAATAAAAAACGTGGGCACCCATTTAAAATAAGAAAGTTGCTGTCAACTTCCGATATTTTCGGAAGTGCCGCCACATTGAAAGTATTTTAAAACTGTGTCTTTACTTTTAGTCCTAGTCAACAGACCTAGTAAGTTGAGGTCCCAAAGCAGGCCTTCTTGCCAAACGTTTTGCTTGGTTTAATGTTTAATCGTTTTCTTATAGGCCGTTCATTTACATGTACGTTGCTTAGGTACAATTCATTATAAATTTGAAAAGCTGGCAAACGGCGTTTTTTAGCGATAAACTTACAATAAGTCGATCGTCTCGATTCGAAGTTTCCATTCGAAAATCGAAATAAAAATGAAACTTCTACACCCTGTATCTCCGAAACTAAGCATTTTAGAACATACATTGAAACGAACGTTTTTAATTATTTTTATGTGCAAAATATGCTGCCAAAGTTCCCCAAATACAACTCGGACCACCCTGTACCTACAGGGTGGGTCAAATTCGATGCTTTTAAATGGAAACACCCTTTTCTATAGGAGATAGACGAAAACTAATATCAGTGTCTGGAGCTCAATTTTCATCAAAAACATGATGGTGAAAACCGCACATCAATATCTGTTACCATTTCGGAGTTACGGGGCGCGTTTTTCAAAAATGTGCATTTTTAACAAATCTCTGTAACTTTTTTGCTATGGAAAATTTTGTATTTCTATGAAAACATTTCCAAAGCATCTTTTTACGTAGAATTTAATTGTTTAAGTATAATTTTTTTAAAATTAATAATTTAAGAGTTATCAACAGAAAAATTGGTTTTTTATATGGAACACCCTGTATATTTTTAATTTATTGAAAAAAAATTAAAATTACCTTTCCAAAAATATAACACACTTGATATTTTGCTCGATTCCTCTTCGAGATATAGAGTATATAAAAATTCGCCCGCTTTAAATAAGTAGGCTTTGAACGGCACCGGCTGTAATGCAAAAAAATTCTAGCTGTGAACATCAATTAAAACGAAAATAATATTTGCTATGAGAGATGCAGAATTTTATAACAATTTAAAATATATTTAACCAACATCAACACATTTAAACTATATCGCATAACAATAAAAATAAATAGCAAACCAGGACATGAGATTTTGCTACAGGTGTTCGACATATCGACCGTCTTCTGTTATGGACAGACGGGGCAGTTTTTGAACATTTCTTGCGGAATTCATTAACTCAGTGGGGGTGAAAGATACCCTCTCATGACTGCTAAGTATTTCTAATTCTTGTCTAGATTATACAGAAGAATAAGGAACCTTTATTCTTTCGCAAATATATCCATAGGATTAGATCCATGAGCACTAAGTCAGGCGGCCTCGACGGCCAACGGCTGGGTTCTTGGTCAGCTATTCAATTATTCTTGAAATTGGCTGCAGAAATTTGCTGATAACTTCAGCGTTCAGAGGCGGTGCGTCGTCTTGCTGGAAAAATATGTTTTCGAGTTCCATTAAGGGCATATCATCAATGAGGGGTCCAAAGCCTACTAGTTAAAAGTGGCCAAACCAAACTTTTAAAAAATCTGTATTTCGAAGGGGATTATAACAAAATATCAAGTGTGCTATATTTTTGGAAAGGTAATTTGAAATTCTTTTCAGCTAATTAAAAATATACAGGGTGTCCCATATAAAAAATCAAATTTTCTGTTGATAATTCTTAAATTATTAATTTTAAAAAAATTATACCTAAACCATTAAATTCTACGTAAAAAGGTGCTTTGGAAATCTTTGCATAAAAATACAAAATTTTCCATAGCAAAAAAGTTACAGCGATTTGTTAAAAATGCATATTTTTGAGAAACACCCCGTAACTCCGAAACGGTAACAGATATCGATATGCGGTTTTCACCATCATGTTTTTGACAAAAATTGAGCTCCAGACATCGATATTAGTTTTTGTCTATCTCCTATAGAAAAGGTTGTTTCCATTTAAAAGTGTCGAATTTGACCCACCCTGTACATTAGGGTTTCATTTCTAAATATTTTTTTTTCATTATTACATTTTATTAGTTTTATATCTTTAATATAATCTTAATGCCATTAATGATGTTAACATTATTTTTCCTGAAGACAAAACTGCACAAACAAGAATAGATCTAGTAACTTTTCAAGAGGCATGTCTATCTTCGTCATCAATAGATATAAAATGTCAAAACAAGATAAACAGGAGAGATGTTAGAAATTATTATATTTTTACTTTGCAAAATAAGTTAAGCCAGTGACATGCAGTCGTATTAAACTGATATAAATCCGAATATGTAGGTTAGTAAAACAATGCTACTTTAAAGTATTGTAGGGACTTTTTTATATAGTCTTCTCAACCCGTTCTGCTTTATATGGCGCTCTTACCATACGCACATGATTTATACTGTTTAAAACAAGCTGAGAAATCGCTTTGCGCAATCCTCTAAAACACTTAAATGGTATAATAGCGTTTTTCACTGAGAACAAA